GGATAATTGAAAAATCGAAACATGGAAAAATTAATTAAAAATATTGGAAAATCGAAAATTAAAAAATTCCGATAATAATTGAAAAATTAAAAAATCGAAGTACCTATAAAACAGTCGAAAAATTGAAAAATCTAGAGTTTAAAAAACGAAAAATTGAAAATTCAAAAAGTAAAAAGTCGAAAAACCAAGAAATCCAGAACTCGAAAAGTCGAAATACTAAAAAATCGCAAAGTGAAATATCGAAAAATTGAAAAATAGAAGAAAAATTGAGGTATTGAAAAACTGAAACTGAGACATTTGAAATCGAAAAATCAAAAGATCGAGGACTCGAAAAGTCGAGAAGTCGAAAAATTGAGAAACCGAAAGAAATATCGGAAATTTAAGACTTCGGAAAATTGAAAAATTAAAATATAGAAGAACTGAAAACTGTAGAATTTTAAAAATTGAAAAATTAAAATATCGAAGAATTGAAAAATTGAGAAATCGACGCATAAAACAATCGAAAATTTGAAAAATCTAACGTTTAAAGAATGAAAAACTGAAAATCCAGAAAATAAAAAATCGAAAAATCCAGAAGTCGAAAAATTGAAGAATCGAAATATTGAAAAATCCCAAAACGGAGAGAATTATCGAGAAATTGAGAAATTAAAAAACTGGAAAATTGATAAATCGAAAAACCAAAAAAGCAAAGCCGAAAAATCGAAGAATTAAAGAACTGGAAAATCGAAACTTTGAGAAGTTTAGAAATGGGAAAATCAAAAATAGATTAATGGAGAAAACGGAAAACTGACCATTTAGCAACGTCAAAATTTTTAAAAAATGGGAAATATAAATATTGAAGAACTGAAAAATCAAAAAACACCGGGAAATCCAAAAATCGAAAAGTTGAAAAATTTTAAAAATCGAAAAACCAAGATGGCAAAATTAAAAAATGGAAAATTTGATAATTGAAAAATCGAAAGATGGAAAAATTGGAAAATCGAAAAATTAATTTAAAAATATTGGAAAATCGAAAATTAAAAAATTCCAATAATAATTGAAAAATTGAAAAATCTAAAGTTTAAAAAACGAAAAATTGAAAATTCAAAAAGTAAAAAGTCGAGAAACCTAGAAATCCAGAACTCGAAAAATCAAAATACTAAAAAATCGCAAAGTGAAATATAGAAAAATTGAAAAATATATATCAGAAAAATTAAAGTATCGAAAAACTGAAGTCGAGACATCGAGATTTCAAAAAATCAAAAAATCGAGAAATCGAGGACTCGAAAAATTGAGAAACCGAAATAGGCCAAAATCGAAAAATCGAAAATTTAAGACTTCGGAAAATTGAAAAATTAAAATATAGAAGAACTGAAAACTCGAGAAATCGAAATATAAAACAATGGAAAAGTCGAAAAGTCGAAGAATCGAAATATTGAAAAATGCCAAAACGGAAAGAAATATCCAAAAATTGAGAAATTAAAGAACTGAAAAATCGAAACTTTGAGAAGTCGAGAAATGGGAAAATCAAAAATAGACTAATTGAGAATTCGGAAAACTGACAATTTAGCAACGTCAAAAATTGAAAAATTGGAATATTGAAGAACTGAAACACAAAAAATTCGAGAAATCGAAAAATCTAAAATTTAAAACATTGAACAATTAAAAAAAATTCGCAAAATTTATGTATTTAAAACTGAAAAATCAGGTAACTGGAGAATCGAAAACATCTTAGAATTGGAAAATCGCAAAATTGAAAAGCCCAAAAATAAAAAATCGTAACATCGAAAAATCAGACGATCGAGAAATCGAGGAGTGAAAAATTGAGAAGAAAAATTAAAAATTGAAAAACTGATGAATCGAGAAATTGAACAATCGAAACATCTGAGTTCGATAAATGGAAAAATCATAAAATTGGAAAACCGAAAATTTAAAAATTCGGAAAATTGGAAAATTTAAATATAGAAGAATTATATAAAACAGTCGAAAAATAAGTGCAAAAATCGAAAAGTCGAAAAATCGAAAAACTAAAAATGCCAAAACTCAAAGAAATATCCAAAAAATTGAGAAATTAAAAAATTGGAAAATTGAGAAATCGAAAAACTAAAAAGGCAAAGTCGAAAAATCGTAAGCTTAAAAAATCGAGAGATTGAAAAATCAAAAACCTGAAAAATGGAAAAATTCAAGAATTAAAGAACTGAAAAATCAAAACTTTGGAAAGTCGAGAAATGGGAAAATAAAAAAAGATCATTTCAGAAATCGGAAAACTGAAAATTTAGAAATATCAAAATTTGAGAATTTTAAAAATCAGAAGATCGAGAAATCGAGAAATCGAAAAATCGAAAAGTTAGAATTGGAAAAATTCATAAATCCAGAGATTGAACAATCGAAACATCGATTAATAGAGATCTCAAACAATTGAAAAATCAAAAATTTAAGACTTCAGAAAATTGAAAAATTAAAATTTTGAAGAACTGAAAAATTGAGAAATCGAAATATAAAACAATCGAAAATTTGAAAAATCGAAAGTCCAAAAAACGAAAAACTGAAAATCCAGAAAATAAAAAATCAAAAAATCGAGAAGTCAAAAAATCGAAAAGTCGAAGAATCGAAATATTGAAAAATCCCAAAACGGAAAGAAATTTCCAAAAATTAAGAAATTAAAAAACTGGAAAATTGAGAAATCTAAAAACCAAAAAGGCAAAGTCGAAAAATCGAAGAATTAAAGAACTGAAAAATCGGCAAACTGACAATTTAGCGACGTCAAAATTTGAAAAATTGAAAAATAGAAATATTGAAGAACTGAAAAATAAAAATTCAAAAAATCTAAAATTTAAAACTGAAAAATCGTATAACTGGAGAATCGAAAACATCTTAAAATTGGAAAATCGGAAAAGTTGAAAACTGAAAGAAATATCCAAAAAATTGAGAAATTAAAAAATTGGAAAATTGGGAAATCGAAAAACTAAAAAAGCAAAGTCGAAAAATCGTAAGCTTAAAAAATCGAGAGATTGAAAAATCCCTAAACGGAGAGAAATATCCCGAAATTGAGAAATTTAAAAACTGGAAAATTGAGAAATCAAAAAATCAAAAAAGCAAAGTCGAAAAAACGAAAAATCTAAGAATTAAAGAACTGAAAAATCGAAACTTTGAGACTCGAGAAATGGGAAAATCAAAAATAGTTTAATTGAGAAATCGGAAAACTCACAATAGAAATATTGAAGAATTGAAAAATAAAAAAAATTGAGAAATTGAAAAATCTGAACTTTAAAAAGTTGAACAATTAAAATATCGCAAAATTTATTTATTTAAAAATCGGATAAGTGGATAATCGAAACATCTAAAAATTGAGAACAAAAATTAAAAATTGAAAAACTTATTAAAATTTCGTAGAATTTAAAAATTTAAATATAGAAAAATTGAAAAATTGAGGAATCCAAGTATAAAACATTCGAAAATTTGAAAATTGTAAAGTTTAACGAAAAATTAAAAATCCAAAAAGTAAAAAATCGAGAGATCAAAAAATCCAGTAGTGCAAAAATCCAAAAGTCGAAAAGTCGAAGAAACGAAATATTGAAAAATCCGAAAACTGAAGAAAATATCCAAAAATTGAGAAATCAAAAAAGCAAAGTCGAAAAATCGGAAAATTGAAGAACTGAAAAATCGAATCTTGGAGAAGTCGAGAAATGGGAAAATCAAAAATTGATTAATTGACAAATCGGAAAACTGAAAATTTAGCAACGTCAAAATTTGAAAAATTAAAAAATAGAAATATTTATTAAAGAAGTGAACAATCAAAATATCACAAAATTGAAAAATTGCGAAATCCAAACATCAAAAATTCAAAAAATAAAACTCGAAAATCTAAAATTTAAAAATCCAAAAACTAAGAAATCGGAAAATTGGAACTCCAGAATTAAAAAAATTCAAAAATCGAATAACTGGAAAATAGAAACATCGAAAAATTGGAAAATCGAAAGACTGAAAGGCCCAAAAGTAAAAAGTCGAAAAACTGAGAGATCCCAAAAATTAAAAAATCAGAGGATCGAGAAATCGAGGAGTCGAAAGCCCAGAAGAAAAGTTAAAAATTGAAAAATTGAGAAATGCAAAAACCTAGAATTTTAAAAATTGAAAAATTAAAACATCGAAAAATTGAAAAACCCAAAGTTTAACGAAAATTTGAATATCCAAAAAGTAAAAAATCGAGAAATCAAAAAATCCCAAAATTGGAAGAAATATCCAAAAAATTGAGAAATTAAAAAATTGGAAAATTGAGAAATGTGAAAAATCAAAACTTTGGGAAGTCGAGAAATGGGAAAATAAAAAAAGATGACTTCAGAAATCGGAAAACTGAAAATTTAGAAACGTCAAAATTTGAAAAGTTGAAAAATCTAAATATTTAAAAATCGTAAAATTGAAGAGGACAAAAATTGAGAAATCGTATCACTGAAACATCGGAAAATTGAGAAATCGAAAAATAAAAATAAATTGGAAAATGTTGATTATTTTTCCAAAAATAAACTCACCACTTATTCAGAAATCATAAACGGAGGATATATAATTTAAATTACATCAACTAGTTATTGTAAAATTTGGAGATTACGTCATTTTATTGCTGGTGGTGATGAGAAGATAAAATGAGCATTTTACCATTTGATTATACAATTTGAAATGGAAATGTCGTTATTCGGGAACATTACGTATTAAATTATTAAGATGTTCAAAACGGCTTATAGATAAATGGCTTAGAGTCGATATTACCCTGAGTGCGCTCTGGTCTGTGGATCAAACAAGTCCTCCGGCGACGATCTTTCGACTTCTTCTCCCGACTTCCTAATCACCCCCTGGCATAATAGCTCATTTGAACCCCTCACCGCAAATTGCCCGTCGCAATTTAACAGCCCCGCAGTAGCGTAGTTAGCGGACATCCGACGTAGTTTCGCCCCCGTAGTTAGACCGCGCTTGTCTCTAACCCTTGTGACTAACCTGCCCTTCCGGCCCTTCCGGTGGATCTCTTCCAGCCACTCTTGTTCAACACGCTGCAGGTCCGGTCTGCCCTTGGTGCGGCTCAGAGGCGCAAGCTCAGCTTCAAGAACGTCTCGAACGTGGTGGTCCAGCTCCTCCACTCGATCAAGTACTCCATGGAAGTGCCCTTCTCCAACATGGCCCTCCAGCCCGACCTCAAGTCCACCAACGCCAGGAAGGTAAGTCCGGCCCGAATACGGCCCCTGGTGGCGACTCTCGGCGGACATGGCGCAAACCGGACTCCGTGTAATCGGAACGATTACAAATTAATTAGTCGAGGTGGGTTTTTTTCGCCGGTTATGAATATGATTAATTATAATTAGGCTTGATTGATCGGCTCCGGCTGGAAAGAAAGGTAATGCGCGGCTGCTGGTGTTGAAGCAGAAGCGGGTTTCCATTTTTTTCTTTTTTTTTTTTTTGCATAAGTATACGTAATTTTGCGTTCCGCGCTTTCGCTGTCTCTGTCTGGTAGCGAGTACGCCGCATGTGTTGGGTTGATGGCTTGGGAAAAAAATGTGACCAATCGGCGCGTGGTTGAAAAAATTAGCGCCGTTTTGATTTTGGTGTCATCCGGTCGTCGACGTAAGTTTTCAGCGTCATGTCCGCGGAGAAACTCGGTTCTATAACCATAACTAGTAACGTAGAGATAAATGCAACGCACTTATTTATTATTAATTTTTAAGCACCTCTGCACAGTTGTTTTCACTTTCATATGCAAAATATTCCTCTAACCGTTACAGCCGCACTCTCGCACTGGAACCGTTTTTGCATTAAATAACACACTGCATTACAACTATTGAACGATATACTGCACAAGTTTAGTTCTAATTAAATAAGTTAGAGATTTATAGGACCGCAAGAGGAATGCGATTTATTGGAGAATTTCGGTTCAGTGAGACATGAAATGCTTTTTGGCACATTGTTGCATTAGCTCGTCGTGATTAAGGTTGATTTTCCTTTGCGGTCAACTTTTCTCACGTCAGGATTTATGTGTGTTTGTTTTTGCACATAGCACTATGGTTAATGTTACTCTAACGACACCGTTTGTTAAGTGGGGCGTCGCACACGTCGTTTACGTCGTTTACGTCGTTTACTTAGAGTGTGCGACATCCTGAATGCCGCCAGCAGAATTTGCAGCAACTAGTTAATATATTTGCATCAGCTGGAAATTATTCCGATTGTGCGAGCTCAAAGCGAGCATATTGATCCGAGTTGGAAGTCTGAATAGGAGTTTGACCTAATATACATCAAATTTGATGGAAATAATATAGCTGGGGGCTGCATTTTTTCGTTAATAATTGATTGTGTATTGGAAAGCGGCCGCCATAACGTTTCTCTCTCGTTGTAATATTGACGAAATTGTTTGTACACAAATAGAGTTTTAGTATAACTCGTTAGGCTGACGTGGCGACCTTAGCTCTTGATATTTCGTGTAGTTTTTTAAGTTTTTAATTTTTAATGCGATGATTAAAAGCGTCGTCGGGGTTCGGCATCTGGAATTGCGACAGATGGCGCCGCTTGTCGCGGTTGTCGACAGGTGGCGCCGGTTGTCGAAAAGGCGCGAAATTCCACCTGGCCGAACTGTGTCGACTGACTTATAGCGATTTAGCGCGCTTGTGTCTGGCACTGTAGCGTTGAATGTAAACCTAGTACAATCGCACGCAAATGTTTTGAGCCTATGGGCGGATCGTTTTTGCCTCCGTGTTGAATTTTTATCCGAAACGTCCAGATTTTTGGAAAAAAAATCAAAATTATAAAACAATATTTTGCAATTTAATTTTGAAATTGCAAAATCGAATACTTTAAAATCTTGCAGATGTTTTAAAGTCATGATAGACATGATACATTTTTTATTAAATATATTTGCTTATCCCCTCTAAAAAATTTATGACGTCACCTCAAAATTTTGCAGAATAAATCCTATCTTAAATGTATAAAATATGATGAGTTTTTATACTTGTGATTTATCACTGCATTAATATTTTTTTAGATTTGGTTATACAGGGTGTCTCAAAAAAGTTAATGACTGAGTCAATTTGTTTTATTGAAGAAATCAAGAATATCAAAACTGAATACTTTGAAATACTGTGGATGTTTTAAAGTTTTTGTAAGCATGGTAACTTTTTCGAAAATTTGATTAATCAAATATGCGGCAAATCGAAAATCGGAAAAACTGAAATTCACTAATGCAAAAAACAGAAAATCGAAAAATACAAATCGTAAAAATCGAAAATCTAAAAATGGATAACCAAAAAATCGAAAATTCAGTTAATCAAATACCGAGGTCGATCGAAAAGTGGAAATTCACAAACCTCAAAAGTCAAAAATTTGTAATACTGAAAATTAAAAAAATCAAAAACAAAAATTAAAAAAAATCGGAAATTAAAATAATCAAAATATATGAAGTAGAAAAAATTGCAAAGCCTAAAAACTGAAACGAACAGAAAAATCGAAAAAGCAAAAAATTCGAAAAATCTAAAATCGCAAAAGTGGGAAATCGAAAATCTGAATAAAGAAACTTGGAAATTCTGAAAATTGGAAAATCGAAAACCAAAAAATCGGAAAGAAACAAAATTGAAGTCTAAAAGGTGAGAATGGAAAAATTGAAAAACCGAAAATTCTAAAAATCGACAATGGACAAATTGAAAATCGCAAAATTTAAATTGAAAAATTGAACATAGAAAAATCGAAAATTCGACTACTTAAATTTTCTAAAAATCGAAAAATCATAAAACCGAAATATCCAAAATTCTAATGGTCGAAAGTCTGAAAACTGAAAATCGAAAATTCTGAAGCATTTTTAAAATTACCTGAGGAAATTCTTTTCTTGATTTCGACGTCCAGAAGTTATTTTCGACTGTAAGTCTTTGAAAATGGCTACAATTTTTCCAGAATCGCCAAAACAAAATTTGCCAATTTTTGAAAATTTAAAAAAATGGACTTTGAAACCGAATGTTTAGAAAACGTTGGTCCGGGGTCATTAATACGCTGTCTTTTTCGATTCAACTCGTAGAAATTATCTCCCAGAATTTTTTTTTAATTTTTAAGCAACTTTTCCAAAAGTTCCTGATTTCGACATATGAAATTGTTGATATTTTCCCGAGCATTTTGAAAATTACCTAAGGAAATTGTTTTGTTGGTTCAACGTCCAGAACTTATTTTTGGCTTCAAGTCTTTGAAAATTGCCACAATTTTTCCGGAATCGCCAAAACAAAAATTGTCAATTTTTGGAAAATTTAAAAAATTTGACTTCGAAACCGAATGTTCAAAAATATTGGTCCGAGATCATTAATATGCTGCCTTTTTCGATTCAACTCGTAGAGGTTATCTACCAGAATTTTCTCTGGACTTTTACGCTACTTTTCCAAAAGCTCATTTTTTCGACATATGAAATTTGACATTTTTCCGAACATTTTTGAAAATTACCTAAACAAATTGTTTTGTTCATTTAATTAATTCTTCAGTTAATTTCGGTAACAAATCTTTGAAAATTCATACCATTTTTCCAGAATCGCCAGAACAAAATTTGCCAATATTGGAAATTTTTAAAAATTTGAATTTAGAATCGAATGTTTAGTCATCAACACGCTGTATTTTTCGATTCAGCTCGTCGAAATTCATGTCTGAAAATTTGTGTGGGTTTAAGCCAACTTTTCCAAAAACTCATTTTTTCGACACATGAAATTTTTACATTTTCCAGAACATTTGTGAAAATTACCTAAAGAAATCTTTTGTTGATTTCGACGTCCAGAAGTTAATTTGGGCTTCAGTCTGGAAATTCCTACCGTTTTTTCCAAATCGCCAGAAAAAGATTTGTCAATTTTGGAATTTTTTTAAAAATTCGCTTTTGGAACTGAATATTTAGAAAATTTTTGTCACACTGTAATTTTCTATTCAGCTCGTCGAAATCAATTTCTGAGAATTTTTTGTGGATTTTTAGGCAACTTTTCCAAAAGCTAATTTTTATCCTATCTTAAATGTATAAAATATGATGAGTTTTTATACTTGTGATTTATCACTGCATTAATATTTTTTTAGATTTGGTTATACAGGGTGTCTCAAAAAAGTTAATGACTGAGTCAATTTGTTTTATTGAAGAAATCAAGAATAGCAAAACTGAATACTTTGAAATATTGTAGATCTTTTAAAGTTTTTGTAAGCATGGTAACTTTTTCGAAAATTTGATTAAGCAAATATGCGGCAAATCGAAAATCGGAAACACTGAAATTCACTAATGCAAAAAACAGAAAATCGAAAAATACGAATCGTAAAAATCGAAAATCTAAAAATGGATAACCAAAAAATCGAAAATTGAAAAACGGAAAAACCAAAAAATCGAAAAGTCAAAAATTTGTAATACTGAAAATTAAAAAAATCAAAAACAAAAATTTAAAAAAATCGGAAAATAAAATAATCAAAATATACAAAGTAGAAAAAATTGCAAAGCCTAAAAACTGAAACGAACAGAAAAATCGAAAAGGCAAAAAATTGGATAAACAAAAATTCGAAAAATCTAAAATCGCAAAAGTGGAAAATCGAAAATCTGAATAAAGAAACTTGGAAATTCTGAAAATTGGAAAATCGAAAACCAAAAAATCGGAAAGAAACAAAACTGAAGTCTAAAAGGTGAGAATGGAAAAACTGAAAAACCGAAAATTCTAAAAATCGACAATGGACAAATTGAAAATCGCAAAACTTAAATTGAAAAATTGAACATAGAAAAATCGATGAATTGAAAAATCGAAAATTCGACTACTCAAATTTTCTAAAAATCGAAAAATCATAAAACCGAAATATCCAAAATTCTGATAGTCGAAAGTCTGAAAACTGAAAATCGAAAATTCTGAAAAGCGGAAAATAGAATATCGAAAAATTTAAAAGAAAGAAAATTGAAGTCTAAAAACCAAAGAATGGAAAAATTAAAAATCAAAAATTCGAAAAATCAGAACCGAAAAGTTCGAAGATTTAAAAAGGAAAATCGAAAAATCAAAAATCTGAAAATTGAAGCTCGAAAATTCGGAAAATCGAAAAGTAAAAAAATTGAAGTCTAAAAGCTGAAGAATGGAAAACTGAACAATCGAAAATTCGAAAATCAAATATCGAAAAATCGAAAATTTGATGAATCAGATATGCGAAAAGCAGAAAATCTGAAAATACAAAACTAAAAAATCAAAAATCTAAAAATGGAAAAACCGAAAATCGAAAATTCAATGAATCTAATACGTAGGTCGATGGAAAAACCGGAAATTTACAAATCTGAAAAATCGAAAATTTGCAAGATTGAAAAACCGAGAATTGAAAAATCAAAAAACCGAAAAATGGAAAATTCAAAAATCGAAAAATAGGAAAACAGAAAATTCGAAAATTCATAATATTGAAAACTCTAAAAGTCGACAATTCAAAAATCGAAAAGTAAACAAATTTCAAAGCCTAAAAAGTGACGAACAGAAAAATCGAAAACTCGTAAAATCATAAAGTGGAAAATCGAAAACTGGAAATTGGAAAATCGAAATATCGAGAATCGACAAATTAAAAAACCGAAAAATCTAAAAATTAAAAAATCGGAAATCGAAAAATGAAAAAAAAAGACGAAAATTCAAAAATCGAGTAATCCGAAACTAAAATAATAGAAAAGTGGAAAAGTAAAAATTGCAAAGTCTAAAACTGACGAACAGAAAAATCGAAAAATATCTAAAAATGGAAAAATCGAAATGCTCAAAAATCGATCATTCGATTAATCAATATTCTAAAAATCGAAAAAACGGACACAAATCCACAAATCTGAAAAATCGAAAATCGAAATATCGTGACTCGAAAAATGAAAAAATCGAAAATTTAAAAAATCCCAAATCGAAAAATGGAAAAATAAAACAAATCGCAGAACCATAAAAACTGAAACAAACAGAAAAATTCAAAAACCACAAAATCGGAAAAACGAAAATCGAAAAATCGCAAATCGAAAAATCGTAAAATCAGAAAATGGAAAATCGAATACTCGAAAATTGAAAAATCGAAGGTCGAAAAATAAAAAAACCGAAAAATGGAAAATTCAAAAATCGAAAAATAGGAAAACAGAAAATTGAAAATTCATAATATTGAAAACTCTAAAAGTCGACAATTCAAAAATCGAAAAGTAAACAAATTTCAAAGCCTAAAAAGTGACGAACAGAAAAATCGAAAACTGGAAATTGAAAAATCGGAGATTGGAAAATCGAAATATCGAGAATCGACAAATTAAAAAACCGAAAAATCGAGAAATTAAAAAATCGGAAATCGAAAAATGAAAAAAAAACGAAAATTCAAAAATCCAATAATCCGAAACTATAATAATAGAAAAGTGGAAAAGTAAAAATTGCAAAGTCTAAAACTGACGAACAGAAAAATCGAAAAATTAAAAAAAATCGAAAAATATCTAAAAATGGAAAAATCGAAATGCTCAAAAATCGAAAATTCGATTAATCAATATTCTAAAAATCGAAAAAACGGACACAAATCCACAAATCTGAAAAATCGAAAATCGAAATATCGAGACTCGAAAAATGAAAAAACCGAAAATTCAAAAATCAAACTATCGGAAAGTAAAATAATCGAAAAATGGAAAAATAAAACAAATCGCAGAACCATAAAAACTGAAACAAACAGAAAAATCGAAAAACCACAAAATCGGAAAAACGAAAATCGGAAAATCGTAAAATCAGAAAATGGAAAATCGAATACTCGAAAATTGAAAAATCGAAGGTCGAAAAATAAAAAAACCGAAAAATCGAATAATTTAATGATTAATGGAAAATCGAAAAATCGAGAATAGAAGAATTAAAAAACCGTAAAATTGAAAAATCGGAAATCGAAGAATTAAAAACATAAAATCGAAAATTCAAAAATCAAAAAAATCAGAAAACAAAATATAATCGAAAAATGCAAAAAATTGCAGCAAAGTCTAAAAACTGACCAACAGAAAAATCAACAAATCGAAAAACGGAAAAACCGAAAACTCGAAAATTCAAAATACCGCAAATTTGAAAAATCAGAAAATGGGAAAGTAAAAAAATCGAAAAGTTGATAGAAAAATGGAAACTGAAAAATCTAATTCGATGAAACTGTTGGTCGAAAAAACGAAAAATCGAAAATCGAAGTGATCTTTTTTTGAGACAGCCTGTATAAGTAAATCTAAAAAATATTACTGCAATGATAAATCACAGGTATAGACTCTTCATATCAAATTTTACGATGACGTCATGCATTTTTTGGCGAAGATAAGCAAATACATTTTGATCGTGGCTTTGAAAGTATTCTTCGACTTTCGTTCCATTTCAAAATTGACAGGTGTTACACCTCGACCCAAGAGAGACAGCAGTAAAGGATAACAAATGAAACGGATAAAATAAAGCGTCGACCATGATTGATAAACTTTAAACCAAAATTATGAAGTTTATAAACTGAACATTTTTTTTGTTTTTTGAAATGTAGTACACTTCAAAAAATGTCCGTGACTTAATTTAATGTGAATTTTATAACTATGGTTGGCACAATTAGACCTAATATTAGTGTGATTTTGCGCATATTCTCGATTTTATTAGAGCAGAATAGGTTTTTTTTTTTCTAATTTTATAGGTTACGGAAACTAATAGCACATCACAGATATTGCAAAAAAAATTGGGCTCAGGTTCCAACTAATTGACAAGATTTCAAAGTATTCAGTTTTGCAATTCTTGATTTCTTCAATAAAATAAATTTACTCAGTCATTATTTTTTTTGAGTCACCCTGTATGTACAAACAAATCCAAAAAATATAAATGGAATGGTAAATCACAAGTATAGACTCGTTATATTCTGAACATTTTAGATAGGGTATTTATAAAATTAAAACTAATTCTGCCGTTGGACGATTTGTACCGCCTTCTTCGGTGACGACCGGCAAAAATGATCCGCCCATAGGCTCAAAACATTTGCATGCGATTGTACGTTACCCGCCCCAGCATCTAACGCTTTGTCTCGTTATATTATTATAAACTGTATGAGGTTTGCTGAATGTTGTAATACCGCATGACGGTGTTGTTTGCATTTTAGGATGCGGTAAGTGTTGTATCTCTTCACAAACACTTAACTTCTTAGAACGTAATGTGAGTAGCCAAGAATCACTATACTAGTGGTAAGTGTTCATACTTACTGCCTGTCAGCCATTTAATCGTTTTATAATAACACGCATCGTACATCCAAACCTGCTAACCCCGCGTCAAACGAGTCATTTTTGTTTTGTTCGGCATTTTTTCTTTGAAACGAAATGTTTTGTAGCTGAATGTGATGTCTTTTGGTGTCAATCTGTGGCTTATAGGTGCTAGATCTGCAGCGGGTGCTCCATGCGGACCCTTCGGCGTGCGATTCGTCCCAGCACCCTGCTGAAACTAGCAGCAAAGTGAGTTTCGTAGCTGCATTGCACCATCAAACAACTCAGCTTTTTTGCCACGTCATTATCCGATCATGTCCCTCATTTAGTTTTGTTTATTTGCCTGGAGAAGACCTTTTGAGAGGAAGGCGCTCAGGAAATTCGCATCCCGACTCGTTCCTCGTCCACGTTCATCCCGACCCTCTCCCTGTCCGAGTGCCGCGATTCATCATTGCCTAGTGTTTCTGAGTGCCTTCCGTTTGTTCGTTCAATGTTTGTATTATGTTCGTAGAAGTTTAGGGAACATTGTCAAGTGTCTAATTGTCCGGTATATATGTGCCTAACGTGTAGCCGTAGTCTTTAGTTGGTCTAATGTGGCTTATAGGTGCTAGAACTGCAGAGGGTGCTCCATGCCGAAATCTCACCCTCCACAGAACAAACACGCTCCCCAGATACAGAGACCAATGTGAGTTTCACTCACTGGCTTTGCGTTTTGTCAACATTTTCATAGATACAGTGTTTACCAAATATTCTTTTCCTCGCATGCACGCCGAGACGCACAGACCACACACATAAAGAGCTTTCTAGGCGCAGTCCGTCCCGGTGTGTATGAATTAACTTCTTCAGAACATCTAACTAACTGCTGTACTGTACTTGGTTGAATTTTGGACTGTGTGCCTCTTCGGAGGGTTCGTTGTCAGGGAGTGCGGCGTTTCGGCGCGAAAATCGAATCGCGCGCACGCGCACTCCGTCTCGTTTTTCCCGCCGAAACGCCGCAGCCGTTCCTTGTCAGTAATATACTTTTGTAGATAATTTTAGGACTTCCACGACTAACAACTAACGAAACAAAACCTACTCGCGAATGCTTCTTAGACTTTCACACGTACACACAAACACGCAGACATTACAGCTTGCAGCTTCATTAACGTTGGCCACGTTTGCGCAAATTCTAGTTGTAATTTGTGATTTTTTTAGAATAAAGTGACGGAAAAGTTCAAAAGGCCGTTTAAAAAGAGGCACTCCAGCGTTTACCACCAACCCTCGAACAGGGTTAATAAATACTTGGCGCAGGCAATCGAAGCGAGAAGTGTTGACAGAGAAAAGTCGACCCACGTTAACTTGTTTACTCTTTGCTTTAAAGACAGCAGCAAGGAGAACCAGGTCAGTATTAACTTTTAATAAGGTTAAGTGGCGGTCCGGACCCGAATTATTGTTTGAATATGGGGTCGGACCGAATTACTTTCGGAGTTTATAAAGGGCCGCAAGGAATCGTGTTGTCTTAACGGAAACCATTGTTTAAGTATATTATAGTTGGACAACCTATACGGACAATCACTTTCCCATGTAGAAAAGAATGAATATATATTTTATATCTCACTCGCTTCACTATGAAGTGGCGGTACCTTACGAAAGGGGGTAAAAATAGTTCGTAAACACGTGATGTCGATAAGATAGTAAACGGACGTATTAATCAGTACGTTGTACGGGAAGCAGTCACAAAATACGCAAACGTACGTGTTGAAGACTTTACATATATGTAATATATGTATATGTAGTGCATACCTGTTTCAAGGTTAAGGTAAAACAAATTTAATATTATCGCGGTATACCTATTATCCATGAACTGCATGGCTAACAAATATGCGTCCCTTCGTCCACTTTAAAGGTACGAAATTAAACGACCACTACTTTAATTAATAAGTAACAGGTCATCTAATTTGCCTCCAGAATAACTATGGGTTATCATCAAACTATGAATACCAAATTAATTCAATATGAACATCTTCTTACGTATTTTTTTTATTAACAGTAGTCAAATCATTAAATACATATTATCTTTGAAACTAAAATGCATTTTATCCTAAGATTGTACCACAAAATATTCATCACCATTTAAATATATACGATTTAGACATCAAGAAATAAATTTAAAATCGCAAAAATTATACTAAAACAGCCTTAAATGTGTCTTGTATGTACGTCCTTATCAGTATGTAGGCATTTTAACGCACAGCAATAATCGTTCTTGATGAGTAATGACTGATGACTACTGTAACACAGTAAATCCTCGAAATTGAAAATTTAAAACACTGAAAAATTCAAATATGGGAAAATTGTAAAATCGAGAAATCGAAACATAAAAAAATCAAAAAAATTAAAATTGGAAAATCTAAAATTTAAAAATCGAGAAATTGAAAAATTGAAATATAGAGAACTGAAAACTCAAAAAATCGAAAAAAAATAATAATTTCAAAAATTGAAAAGTTAAAATTGAGAAATCGAAAAAATGAAAAATCACAAAATTGAACGAAATATCAAAAAATAGGAAATTAAAAAATTGAGAAACAAAAAAGTCAAAAAAGCAGAGTCTAAAAATCGCAAACTTAAAAAATCGAAAAATTGAAAAATCAAAAACCTGAATAATCGAAAAATTGAAGAACTGAAGAACTGAAAAATCGAAACTTTAGGAAGTGGAGAAATGGGAATATAAAAAAATAGATTAATTGAGAAATCCGAAAACTAAAAATTCAGAAACGTCAAAATTTGAAAAATAAAAAAATATTGAAGAACTAAAAAATCGAAAAATCTAAAATTTAAAACATTGAAAAGTTAAAATATCCTAAAACTGAAAAATGGAGAAATCCAAACATCAAAAAATCAAAAAAATTAAAATAAAAATCTAAAATTTAATAATCGAAAAACTGAAAAATCAACGAATCGAGAAGTCGAGAATTTAAAAAATTGGACAATTGAAAAATCGGATAAATCAAAAATCGAAACATCGAAAAATCGAGAAACCGAAAAGCAAAAAATCTAAAAACCAACAAATCGAAAAATCGAAACATTGTAAAATTCAAAAATTGAAACATTGAGAAATCGAAAAATCAAAACACAAAAAAAATCGAGGAGTCGAAAAATCGAGAAGTCAAAAAATCAAAAAATTGAGAAACCGAAGTAGGCCAAAATCGAAAAATCGAAAACTTAAATATGGAAAAATTGATAAAGCGAGAGATTGAATAATCAAAACATCGATACATCCGAATCTCAATGAATTGAGATCTCAAAAAATTTAAACATTCGTAAATTTAAAAAATTAAAATATAGAACTGGAAACTCGAGAAACTGAAAAATCTAGAAATTTAAAAATTAAAATATGAAAAAGTTGAAAAATTGAGAAATTGAAATAAAAAACGAAAAACTGAAAATCCAAAAATGAAAAATAGAAAAATCTAGAAGTCGAAAAATGAAAGAATCGAAGTATTGAAAAATATCAAAACTGAAAGTAATATCCAAAAATTGAGAAATCGACAAACCGATAAAGCGAAGTCGAAAAATCGAAGAATTGAAGAACTGAAAAATCGAAACTTTGAGAAATGGGAAAATCAAAAATAGATTAATTGAGAAATCAAAAAACTGAAAATTTAACGCAATAATTTGAAAAATTTAAAAATTTAAATACTGAAGAACTGAAAAGTCAAAAAATCGAGAAATCGAAAAAACTAAAATTTAAAACAATGAATAATTAAAATATCGCAAAATTGAAGAATCGACAAATCCAATTCAATTTGAAAAATTGAAAAATCGAGGCATTGAAAAATTGGAAAATCCAGAAATTGAAAAGCTCAAAAGAAAAAAATCGAAAAACCGAGAAATCCAAAAATCAGAACATCGAAAAATTCAAAAACTGAGACTTCGAGAAATCGAAAAATCGAAGGATCGAGAAATTCAGGAGTCGGAAGCCGAAAAGGAAAGTTAAAAATTGAAAAATTGAGAAATTGAACAATCAAAACAACGAAACATCTAAATTCGATAAATTGAGAAATTAAAAAATTGAATAATCGAAAAATTTTAAAAAATAAAAACTGGAAAATCAAAAATTAAAATTCAATACATCGAAAAATTGAAAAATTGAAATATAGAAGAACTGAAAACTCGAGATATCGAAAAACCTAGAATTTTAAAAAATGAAATATTAAAACATCGAAAAGTTTAAAAATTGAGAAATCGAAGCATTAAACAGTCGCAGAATTGAAAAATCTAAAGTTTACGATAAATTGAAAATCCAAAAAGTAAAAAATCGAGAAATCAAAAAAAATCCATCAATTCAAAAATCGAAAAGTCGAAAAATTGAAATATTGACAAATCTCATAACTGAAAGGAATATTCAAAAAATTGAGAAATTAAAAAATTGGAAAATTGAGAAATCGAAAATCTAAAAAAGCAAAATTGAAAAATCGTAATCTTAAAAAATCGAAAAATTGAGGAATTGAAGATGTGAAAAATCGAAACTTTAGGAAATCCAGAAATGGACAAATAAAAAAAATACTTTAGAAATCGGCAAACTGAAAATTTAAAAACGTGAAAATTTGAAAAATTGAAAAATCGAAATATTTAAAAACCGTAAAATTGAAGAGGACAAAAATTGAGAAATCGTATCATTGAAACATCGTAAGATTGAGAAATCGAAAAATAAAAAAATCGAGAAATAGAAAATTTAAGGATTGGAGGAATCGAAAAAGCCCAAAATTGAAATATTGAAAAATTGAGACATTTAAAGTTGAAAAATCGAGAAATCGACAAGCCGAAAAATCCCAATAGCGTATTTAGGTATAAATCACAAGATCAGGACTATTCTACTTTTTAAAATTTAAATAGATAACATTATAAATTGGAAAATGTTGATTTTTTTTTTCCAAAAATCTTGACGTCTAAGGTGAAAACTCGACACGGATGCATAAACCGTAAACGGAGCGAAACTACAATTTTACTATTGTAAAATTTGGAGATTGCGTCATTTTATTGTTCGTGACAAATTTTGGAGAGTGTAATTTGATAATACAATTTGAAATGTAAATTTTGTCATTCGGGAACATTATGTATTAAATCGTTAAGATGTTCAAGAACTTTGTTCACTTATTCGTTGTAACATCCAATGGTCGAAACGGGTTAGTTCTTCGTAGTGGATGTGTATCACATCAACTCTAACGAATATCGGTTTATAGATAAATCGCTTAAAGCCGATATTGGCCTGAGTGTGCTTTGGTCTGTAGATCAAACAAGTTCTCAGGCGACGAAAAATTGCATGTGGAGGGAGACTTCGGATTACAAATCGTGCCAAGAAAGAGATATTTGGAAGAGATAGATTTTCAGGTGCTTGACTAACGGTTATTTTAAATTGTTTGCTGTCGTTTGCGAAGTGAAGAACACAATGTCATTAAAATGATAATTATAAAATTATCATAATCACTATTGGTGTTAATTAACATAAAATGGCGCGCAAGTTATCAGTTGATTTCTTTAATAAATTCATAGAAACCTATATGGGAGATATTTTCATGCCTTAGAAAATTAAAAAGTAAAAAATACAATAACAAAAGTTTTAAAATGCGGTTTACGAAAAATTAGTTGACCTGTGCAAAGAAGAAAATGTTGGAAACGCTGACAAATATGATATCTTAAAAAAAAATAACACTTGAAGTGCAATGATGTCGGTGTTATATCCCGAGAGGGGCCCAATACACCCAATAAAATCGAACAGACAAAATAAAGCTTCAAACATGATTATTTTTATACTAAAATTCTGAAGTTTATAAACTGCACATTTTATTTATTTATTTATTTATTTTATCTTGTTTTCGAACTATAATAAACATTTCAAACAATGTCTGTAACTTATTTTAATGTAAATTATATTCATGGGGTTAACAAAATCAGATGTAATATTAGTGTGATCCTTATTCTAGATTTTATTACAGCAGAACGGCGTATCCTTTTTAAATTTTAGAAGTTACGGAAACTAGTTCAAGAAACAATTAGTTATCTCGTATTTTTGGAACAAAATCAAAATTGTTTTTCATAGAAACAAACAGTCTTCAAAGCAGCCTTTAACAACTCGATATTACAAACATGCCTCTTAAGTTCTTAATGCGTTTTTTTCTCTCTTGTAATTATTTGTAATGTTAACGCCGAAAGTTTATGTCATTCTGTTATTTACTTTGAACATATATTTTCATTTTGTGTTAATATTTTTGTAACACCACGAATCTAAATTTTACTTAAAATCTTGTTTTACTTTAATCTTGTAAAACTAAACAATTATACCAGTTTAAAAACCCTTGGAAAGTTTCTGTCAGTCTTCAGATATAGTCAAATAAAAATATGCGTCAAATTCATTTAAATTCAATTCTTTCTTATCACGTTACAACGCGTTGCTTCATATTTTTTATGTCAAGCATATTTTCATATTTTGTACATATATGTTTATACACATTACTGTTTACGAAACAATGTTAATTATGGATTTATGGATAACTCCTCGTATAAGAGCAGAGTGAAGGGTGTTTGCCTTTGGTAATGTTTGATGGCGCCATCTGATTTAGAGTAAAATAAACCTAATACGTTGGCTCACTGTAATGAAAATGCGCGTTGACGAAAAATTTGTCCCACGCCCCCTGGATTCCTTGTCCTAAAGCTCACTATTTAGGCGAAGTAAAATTTGTATTAGGTTGTCCAACTATAATATACTTAAACAATGCGGAAACTTTGGCTTTTCGCGAAGAACAATCGTATTGCATTATGTATGGACGCGAATCGGTAATGAGGTATTGTGACGTCACGCGGATCCGGCGAACGTCATTATCTCGGTAACGAGCGTCACGGGATTTTTTAGCATCAAAGATCGAAACGAGCGCGTAATTTCGCATTAAAAACCTTTCAGGACTTATTTCGTCTAAAGCCTCTTTCGAGCAGAGAGCTCGACGGGAATTTCATAAGTTCAAAATGTTTGATCTTCGCGTGTTCTTTGATGTAGACGTAATGAAAAATGGCTACAATAGAAAGTATTTTGTGTTTGATTTTTAGTACCACGACGATCTCGACGTAGGATACAGTTCGTCTCTAGTGTGCGCTTTAGTTCTTTTGGTTCTTCTGGGGGTCCTTCAAGTGACGGTTCTACCCAGGACCATCATCCTACTTTTACTGTTTCTCACAGCTTTCGTCTGGATTTCGGTGGTCCTTATGTTATTGTTAGCCGTCCGTCTGCGGTGGATTTTATGGGATATTTCTCACAGTTTCGTCTTGAGACTGGCCATCACCGTCTTCACGATAGTCTTAATATACACGGTGGCCCAAGTTAACGTGGTAAGTACGTCCAAGTGCTGGCATTCCGTCGTAACGCGCGAGTTTCAGTTCACTTGTCGACCACCCGACGAGTCCAAGTGCGCCCCCATAACTGCAAACGTCACGTTGGACAGTAGTTTCAAAGAAGCCGACCATCGAGCCTGTCCGCTGCCTCAATATATAGTGTTGTCGTGCGCTCTCGGGTACCTCGCCGTCGCCATCTTCCTCCGGCTTCCCATTTTACTCAAAGCCGTGCTCTTGGTCATCATGTCCACCGTGTATATCCTGTTGATCGAGCTATCGCACACCAAGTTGTTCAAGTGTTACGACAAGCGCGTCAAGTACGTCACTCAATCCCGTCGTCCCTTTTTCTCAAAAGTGTTGTTACAGCCCGATCGAGCTCGTCATCCCCGCCGACGTCCTCAGCGTCGTCCAGGTCCTCATGTTCGTCCTCGCCGTGCTGCTGCACGGCCGCCAAGTCGAGTGGACCGCTCGCCTCGACTTCCTGTGGCAGGTTCAGGCCAACGAGGAGAAGCGCGAGATGGACGCCCTCCAGCACTCCAACAAGCGCATCCTCTTCAATCTGCTGCCGGCGCACGTCGCCACCCACTTCCTCGACAACCAATTTCGCAACAATATGGTGAGTGCGTTAACGTACAATCGCACGCAAATGTTTTGAGCCTATGGGCGGATCATTTTTGCCGGTCGTCACCGAAGGAGGCGGTCCAAATCGTCCAAGGGCAGAATTTCTAGGTAGGCTCAAACTACAACGAAATTTACGTGTTGACCAAATTCTTACCCTGAATTAGTTTTAATTTTATAAATACCCTATCTAAAATATTCAGAATATGATGAGTCTAATTGCAAAACTGAATACTTTGAATTCTTGTCAATTAGTTAGAAAAAAAAACCTGTCCTGCTCTAATAACATCGAGAATATGCTCAAAATCACACTAATATTCTATATTATTAAAGTAAGTCACGGACATTTTTTGAAGTGTACTACATTTCAAAAAGCAAAAAAAATGTTCAGTTTATAAACTTCTTAATTTTGGTTAAAAGTTTATCAATCATATTTGACGCTTTATTTTATCCGTTCCATTTGTTATCCTTTACTGCTGTCTCTCTTGGGTCGAGGTGTAACACCGGACCGAACGTTCTTCGACCGATAGGATAATTTATTACTTCCGACATATTTTCGGTGACAAATTTAATCTTTGCATATTTCAGCGTAGTTAGTGAACTCGTTGTGACCACTGAAATATACAAAGAGTACATTTTGAAATGGAACGAAAGTCGAAGAATACTTTCAAAGCCACGATCAAAATGTATTTGCTTATCTTCGCCAAAAAATGCATGACGTCATCGTAAAATTTGATATGATGAGTCTATACCTGTGATTTATCATTGCAGTAATATTTTTTAGATTTACTTATACAACCTGTCTCAATAAAAGGTCACTTCGATTATCGATTTTGCGTTTTTTCGACCAACAGTTTCATCGAATTAGATTTTTCAGTTTCCATTTTTCTATCAACTTTTCGATTTTATTACTTTCTAATTTTCTGATTTTTCAAATTTGCGGTATTTTGATTTTTCGAGTTTTCAGTTTTTTCGTTTTTCGATTTTTTAATTTTTCGTTTTTTTGATTTTTCGATGTTTTGATTTTTTAATTTGCCATTCTTTCAATTTTCGATTTTTCGTCGTTCCATTTTTAGATTTTTTGATTTTTCTCTTCGTCAGTTTTTAGACTTTGCAATTTTTTTGCATTTTTCGATTGTATTTTACTTTCCGATTTTTTTGATTTTTGAATTCTCGATTTTACGTTTTTAATTCTTCGATTTCCGATTTTTCAATTTTCCGGTTTTTTAATTCTTCTATTCTCGATTTTTCGATTTTCCATTAATCATAAAATTTTTCGATTTTCCATTTTCTGATTTTACGATTTTTCGATTTTCGTTTTTCTGTTTTTGTGGTATTTCGATTTTTCTGTTTGTTTCAGTTTTTATGGTTCTGCAATTTGCAGCTTTTAGATTTCAATTTTGTGATTTTCCGATTTCCCACTTTTCGATTTTATGATTTTTTTTCGATCGTCGTTTTTTCGATTTTTTGATTTTTCAATTTTGCAACTTTTTTACTTTTCACTTTTTCGAGTATTTGTTTCATTGAATTTTCGAGTTTTCGATTTTCGATTTTTCGGTTTTTCCATTTTCCGATTTTCGATTTTTCGATTTTCCATGTTTAGATATTTTTCGATTTTTTTTTATTTTTCGATTGTTCTGTTCGTCAGTTTTGACTTTGCAATTTTTACTTTTCCACTTTTCTATTATTTTAGTTTCGGATTATTCGATTTTTGAATTTTCGTTTTTTTTTTCATTTTTCGATTTCCGATTTTTTAATTTTTCGATTTTTCGGTTTTTTAATTTGTCGATTCTCGATATTCCGATTTTGGATTTTTCGATTTTCCAATCTTCGATTTTTCGACTATTTTTTTCCAGTTTTTTGATTTTTGAATTGTCGACTTTTAGAGTTTTCAATATTATGAATTTTCGAATTTTCGGTTTTCCTATTTTTCGATTTTTGATTTTTCCATTTGTCGGTTTTTTGATTTTTCAATTCTCGGTTTTTCAATCTTGCAAATTTTCGATTTTTCAGATTTGTGAATTTCCAGTTTTTCGATCGACCTACGTATTAGATTCATTGAATTTTCGATTTTCGGTTTTTCCATTTTTAGATTTTTGATTTTCCAGTTTTGTATTTTCAGATTTTCTGTTTTTCGCATATCTGATTTATCAAATTTTCGATTTTTCGATATTTGATTTTCGAATTTTCGGTTGTTCAGTTTTCCATTTTTCAGCTTTTAGACTTCAATTTTTTTACTTTTCGATTTTCCAAATTTTCGAGTTTCAATTTTCAGATTTTTGATTTTTCGATTTTCTTTTTAAATCTTTCAATTTTTCGGTTTTGATTTTTCGAATTTTTGATTTTTAATTTTTCCATTCTTCAGTTTTTAGACTTCAATTGTCTTTATTTTAAATTTGTCGATATTCTATTTTCCGCTTTTCAGAATTTTCGATTTTCAGTTTTCAGACTTTCGATGATTAGAATTTTGGATTTTTCAGTTTTATGAATTTTCGATTTTTAGAAAATTTGAGTAGTCGAATTTTCGATTTTTCAATTCATCGATTTTTCCATGTTCAATTTTTCAATTAAAATTTTGCGATTTTCAATTTGTCCATTGTCGATTTTAGAATTTTCAGTTTTTCAAATTTTCCATTCTCGACTGTAAAGACTTCAATTTTTTGGTTTTCGATTTTCCAATTTTCAGAATTTCCAAGTTTCTTTATTCAGATTTTCGATTTTCCACTTTTTCGATTTTAGATTTTTCGAATTTTTTGCTTTTTCGATTTTTCTGTTCGTTTCAGTTTTTAGGCTTTGCAATTTTTTTACCTTTATATATTTTGATTATTTTAATTTCCGATTTTTTTTATCTTAGTTTTTGATTTTTTTTTATTTTCAATATTACAAATTTTTGACTTTTCGATTTTTTGGTTTTATCGTTTTTCAATTTTCGTTTTTGAGGTTTGTGAATTTCCACTTTTCGATCGACCTAGGTATTTGATTCATTGAATTTTCGATTTTTTGATTAGCCATTTTTAGATTTTCGATTTTTACGATTTGTATTTTTCGATTTTCTTTTTTTGTGCATTAGTGAATTTCAGTTTTTCCGATTTTTGATTTTGCGCATATTTGATTAATCAAATTTTCGAAAAAGTTACCATGCTTACAAAAACTTCGAAACATCTACAATATTTCAAATTATTCAGTTTTGCTATTCTTGATTTCTTCAATAAAATAAATTGAATCAGTCATTAACTTTTTTGAGATACCCTGTATAACCAAATCTAAAAAATATTAATGCAGTGATAAATCACAAGTATAAAACTCATCATATTTTATACATTTAAGATAGGATTTATTCTGCAAAATTTTGAGGTGACGTCATAATTTTTTTAGAGGGGGTAAGCAAATATATTTTAATTAAAAATGTATCATGTTTATCATGATTTTAAAACATCTGCAAGATTTCAAAGTATTCGATTTTGCAAATTCAAAATTAAATTGCAAAATATTGTTTTATAATTTTGATTTTTTTTCCAAAAATCTGGACGTTTCGGATAAAAACTCAACACGGAGTCATAAACTACATGTGTAGGACTATGTTACTGTATACAATTTAAAACCCATTTACTATGCATAAATTTGAAGTGACGTCATCACATTATTGGTGGGGATGATTAGACAAATTTAATAATTTTGCGACATTTATGAAAAAAATATCAGTTAACAAAAATGGCACGTTTTTATTATTAGGCCAGTTACATGTCGCTCAACGACAATATCGTTTTTTTTTTAAAGAGTATTTTATGAAATTTTTTATACGGAACAATTGGTCGAAAGATGTTAGAAAGCAAAATAATTCATGTCCGGACCATCGTTACTCACGAACGAAAGTGACCATTATTTTATGGGAACAACTACCTGCTAAATCTTCTCCGACAAATTCGAGAGAACTGGTGTGAGCCATAATTATTTCTTACCAAATGTGTATATAACTACTGTCCGTCCCGTTATTGTCAATAAAATTTTGTAGGGTAAAATGTGAATTTCGTTGTAGTTTGAGCCTACCTACAAATTCTGCCCTTGAAGGATTCGGACCGCCTTCTTCGGTGAGGGCAGGCAAAAACGATCCGCCCATAGGCTCAAAACATTTGCGTGCGATTGTACGTTCTGTGCCGGCAACATGTCTTTGTTTCTGGAATTCTTCTTTCTCGATGTTGTCTGCACAAAAAGGTTAACATAGAAGAGCGTTCTCTTACAGAATACTCTATCACAGGAACTGTACCATCAAAGCTATTCAAGAGTGGGGGTTGTTTTTGCGTCAATCACAAATTATCACGAGTTCTATACGGAACTGGACGGGAACAACCAGGGGGTGGAGTGTCTCAGGTTGCTTAATGAGATTATAGCGGATTTCGACGATCTGTTGGGCGAGGAGAGGTTCAAGGCGATCGATAAGATCAAGACGGTCGGGTCCACGTACATGGCGGCGGTCGGATTGATGCCGGACTTGAGGATTCTGGACGAGGACGAGACCACGGCGGGGATACATTTGAGCACGCTGGTGGAGTTCGTGTTTGCGATGAGGGACAGGCTGCTGAATATCAACGAGAACTCGTACAACAACTTCATGCTGAGAGTGGGTGAGTACGCGTGCTTTTTGTTTCCCGAACGTCTACTTTAATAGTTAATTGATAAGTATCCTTGCGAAAATATTGACGCCATTAAAAAAATTTCGTATGGAAAAAGTCACTAGAAACACATAAATCTCGCCAGCTCGACTAGGGACCGCACCGTCCGCTTCTGTCCCGTATTTCGGTGCGAATTTAAATTCGCCGTACACTTTCGTGAAGTTTTAAACAGCAAAGAATTCTTATCTGAGATTAAGATTGGACATCAGACAATTTATATGATCGAAACATTCATCAACAAAATATTTACATGAAAGAAAAACTAGCAAAGATTTATACAAACAAAAAAATCTGGGGTGAAATAAAACTTGTGCAGATAAAGATATTACGTGAGGTTAGGAACTAAAGAGCATGAAAATTTACGTTCAATTTAAATTATGCAGCAAAGAAAAATACTGAGGCTAAAATTTTGATTGAGTTTAATATTTTATGTCCATTCGAGTTATTGGTTAAATTTTAAAAAGTGAGGTTATTCAGCCGCTTTGTGGGTCATTGTTATACATTCCCCCAAAAAAACACATAAACAAAAAGATGGCAGACAATCTGGAGGTTCAAAATAGCGTCGAAAAAATGCGATTTATCTCGTGGCGTTGTACAAATAACGGTCTAAATCAAAGGAATACATTGCACGTCCCACAATGTCGTTAATTTGTTCAACGAGATTTTACAGTTCAAACATGTGCTCGGTTTGAAAATAATCTTTCAACATGGCCGCTGCCAGAACAAAGAATTTACCAGATGTTAAATTAAGCCACACTTTATCAACGATTCAAACAAAGAGTTTACATTACATTAAATGATGTCTTGATTCAAGTGATTGGCTATCTATATATTGGCTAATTTTTTTTTTATAAAATTAGTTGTCTTCGCATATACCAAAATATTCAAATTTCCAAGTCAGGTATTTTTGAATCTACGAACCTTTTAGAATCTCTCAGATTTATAAGATAAGATAAGAATTAGTGGTAATGGAATTTGTAAAATTTAAAGGAAACATTTTTGAGATTTCTATGATTTCTAGAAGTTTGTTTTTTTAGAGTTTTACAAGTTACAGTATCTTTCGAATTTTTAAAAACTTAAGAATTCTTAAAATTTGTGGAACATTTGAGTGGAGTTGGAGTTTTTTTTGACTTTTTAGTGATTTTAGAAACTTTATTGGAATATTTGGAATCTTTGCAAAATCTGGAATTTTTGGACTCTTTGGAATCCTTGGAATCGGATCTCCTGGAATCCCTGGAATCTCTGGAATCTTTAGAATCTTTAAAATCTTTGGGATCTTTTTAATCTTTGTAATCTTTGGAATATTTGGAATTCTTGGAATCCTAGGAATATTTGGAATCTTTGGAAACCTTGGAATCCAGGGAACCCATGGAATCTTTGGAATATTTGGAATTCTTGGAATCCTAGGAATATTTGGAATCCTTGGAAACCTTGGAATCCAGGGAATCCATGGAATCTCTGGAATCTTTAGAATCCTTGAAATTCTTGGAATCTTTAGAATCTTTGGAATCTCTGGATTCTTTGGTATCTCTGAAATCTCTGGAATCTCTGGAAACTTTGAAATACCTGGAATTTCAGGAATCAGTGAAATCTCTGGAAAATCTGGATTCAGTGAAATCTCTGGAAAACAATTTTTGGAATTTTTGGCATCTTTGGAATATTTGGAATAGTTGCAATATTTGGAATATTTGCAATATTTTGAAACTTTGGAATATTTAGATCCTTTGGAATCCATGGAATCTTTGGAATCTCTGGAATCTCTGGAATCTCTGGTATCTCTGAAAACTCTAGAATCTTGGGAGTTCTTAGAATCTCTGGAATCCTTGGAATCTTTGGAATCCTTAGAGTCCTTGAAATATCTGGAATTTTTGTAATCTCAGGAATTTCTGGAATGTCTGGAATCTTTGCAATCTTCGGATTTTTGAAATCTTTAGCATCTTTGGAATATTTGGAATCCTTTAGAATCCTTGCAAACCTTGGAATCCAGGGAATCCATGGAATCTCTGGAATCTTTAGAATCCTTGAAATTCTTGGAATCTTTAGAATCTTTGGAGTCTCTGGATTCTTTGGTATCTCTGAAATCTCTGGAATCTCTGGAAACTCTGAAATACCTGAAATTTCAGGAGTCAGTGAAATCTTTGGAAAATTTGGAATCAATGAAATCTCTGGAAAATCTGGAATCAGTGAAATCTCTGGAAAAAAATTTTTGGAATTTTTGGAATCTTTGGAATATTTGGAATAGTTGCAATATTTGGAATATTTGCAATATTTTGAAACTTTGGAATATTTAGATCCTTTGGAATCCACGGAATCTTTGGAATCTCTAGAATCTCTGGTATCTCTGAAAACTCTAGAATCTTTGGAGTTCTTGGAATCTCTGGAATCCTTGGAATCTTTGGAATCCTTAGAGTCCTTGAAATATCTGGAATTTTTGTAATCTCAGGAATTTCTGGAATGTCTGGAATGTCTGGAATCTTTGCAATCTTCGGATTTTTGAAATCTTTAGCATCTTTGGAATATTTGGAATCCTTGGAAACTTTGGAATCCAGGGAATCCATGGAATCTCTGGAATCTTTAGAATCCTTGCAAACCTTGGAATCCAGGGAATCCATGGAATCTCTGGAATCTTTAGAATCCTTGAAATTCTTGTAATATTTAGAATCTTTGGAGTCTCTGGATTCTTTGGTATCTCTGAAATCTCTGGAAACTCTGAAATACCTGAAATTTCAGGAATCAGTGAAATCTTTGGAAAATCTGGAATCAATGAAATCTCTGGAAAATCTGGAATCAGTGAAATCTCTGGAAAAAAATTTTTGGAATTTTTGGAATCTTTGGAATATTTGGAATAGTTGCAATATTTGGAATATTTGCAATATTTTGAAACTTTGGAATATTTAGATCCTTTGGAATCCACGGAATCTTTGGAATCTCTAGAATCTCTGGTATCTCTGAAAACTCTAGAATCTTTGGAGTTCTTGGAATCTCTGATATCCTTGGAATCTTTGGAATCCTTAGAGTCCTTGAAATATCTGGAATTTTTGGAATCTCAGGAATGTGGTATCTCTGAAATCTTAGGAATCTCTGGAATCTTTGGAATCTTTGCAATCTTCGGATTTTTGAAATCTTTAACATCTTTGGAATATTTGGAATCCTTTGAATCCTTGGAATTCTTGGAATCCTTGGACTCCTTCAAAACCTTGGAATCCATGGAATCTATGGCATTTTTGGAATCTTTGCTATCTCTTTGCAATCTTTGGATTTTTGGATTTTTTGGAATCTTTAGAATCTTTAGAATCTTTCGAATATTTGGAATCCTTGGAGTCCTTCGAAACCTTGGAATCCATGGAATCTTTGGAATCTCTGAAATCTCTGCAATCGGAATCTCTGGAATCTCCATAATTCTTGGAATCCTTGGAAACCTTGGAATTTCTGGAATCCTTGTAATCTCTGGAATATCTGATCTCTTTGAAAGCTTTGGAATTCTTGGAAACCCTGGAATCCATGGAAATCTCTGCAATCTCTAGAATCGTTGAAATCCTTGGAAACTTTGGAAAACACTGCCGGATTTTGGTTGCTGTTAAGAGCTCTCTTGTATACGTAAGGGTTTGTGTTAAAAACTCGTTTTAATGGCAAGTTGAGAGCAAGTCTTTTTTTATTTATTGATGAAGTAAACTGTTTGTTGTTTTTAGTTTGCCATTATTGTAAATTTTCTACGAGGCGTAATTTTTGGATTTTTCACATTTTTCTGCAGTTCTATAATTTGTAAAATTTTCAAAATTTCTAGCCAATGCAGATTTTACAGATTAACCCGATTGTTCAAATATTCGATAATACAGAATGTCCAGAATTTCCACATTTTCCAAAATTTCTAAATTTTTTTTTTTTTAAATTAGTTGTCTTCGCGTATTCCAAAATATTCAAATTTCCAAGTCTGGTATTTTTGAATCTCCGAACCTTTTAGAATCTCTCAGATTTATAAGATAAGAGTTAGTAGTAATGGAATTTGTAAAATTTAAAGGAAACATTTTTTTGAGATTTCTATTATTTCTAGAAGTTTGTTTTTTTTAGAGCTTTACAAGTTACAGTATCTTTGGAATTTTTAAAAACTTAAGAATTCTTAAAATTTGTGGAACATTTGAGTGGAGTTGGAGTTTTTTTTGACTTTTTAGTAATTTTAGAAACTTTATTGGAATATTTGGAATCTTTGCAAAATCTGGAGTTTTTGGACTCTTTGGAATCCTTGGAATCGGATCTCCTGGAATCCCTGGAATCTTTGGAACTTTTAGAATCTTTAAAATCTTTGGGATCTTTTTAATGTTTGTAATCTTTGTAATCTTTGGAATATTTGGAATTCTTGGAATCCTAGGAATATTTGGAATATTTGGATATATATCCAACGTTGCGAGAAAAAAATGTCTGGGTGATGTGATGATGATATCGATGATAACGGCCTAAAGGGAAAAATTTATAATCCCCCGTACCTCGGTCCACGATATTATGAATTCTGTACTTTCACGGTCTTTTCCCGTATCTATTAGCAATCTTGTATGAGGAATTAAGAAGTGTTATAATTTAACACTCAAGTATAAGAATCCAGAAATTTTATTCATTAGTAAACAAACAAAATCAAAGGAGTCCCGACTAAGTGAATGTCATGAAAACTCCTTCACGTGCTCTATGTGAACAAATATAATATCTGTTAAATTGTGTTAGAACCAGTTAACGATTAAAATCCTAACATGAACTGTAAATTTACAAAAAAGGAAAAAACTAAACGTGCACATGGTTGCCTTATGTTTAACGATTTTCTTGATTGATTTTTTTTCGGTACGTTCCGAAACCTCGCTATTCGGTGCGGAATGCGCCACTGCGACATTCTACATTGCATCCCGACGAGATTCTTTCATATAATAAGCTCATATATCATTCCAGGAATCAATATAGGACCCGTGGTGGCAGGGGTTATAGGTGCCAGAAAGCCCCAATATGATATATGGGGTAACACCGTCAACGTCGCAAGCCGTATGGATTCCACCGGCTTACCCAACCACACCCAAGTAACCGAAGAAGTCTACCAAGTCCTCAAATCCTACCCGTACGAGTTCCAGTGCCGCGGCAAAGTCAAAGTGAAGGGCAAAGGCGACATGACCACTTACTTTTTAATCGACAGGAAGCAACCGGGCACTTTGCGCGTCGAGGAGCTGAACAGCCTCCGATCGAATTCCACCTCGAGTAAGCCACTCGTCTTCCTCTCCTTTCCCGTTTTATTCGTAACACGTGTTGCAGCCACCAGCAACATGTACGGCGGCGTCGCCACCCCGCTCGCTCTCCTCCACCACAGCGAAATGAACGGTCGAACGAAACACCCAGCCCTCCAGACGAGGTCCAGCTCGAGGGAAGACAGCTACAGCGGAATCCGGAACGCCATGAGGCTGCCGCCGCTGCGCGAGGCGCCTCATCGGGACCACGCGACCAACGGCTGTGAAAACGAACCATTATTGCCTTCGGCGGCGGCGTGCAAAGCCACCAGGAACGGCAAAAAACTGGTGCCCGAGGAGAACCTCCCGCCGCCGCCGCTGCCGCCGCACAAGAACGCGGCGCTGCAGAGGCAGCCGGTGCAGGACATGAAGTACACGCCGCCTTGGCCGCGCGCCCCCAACCCCTACTCCGCTATTCCGGCCCGCCCCCCTGAGAACATCAAGCCGTACTTGAAGCCGTTGCCAAAGCCGCCGGGGAAGGAATCCCCGAATCGACACCACCGTAAACATCACAATGGGGCTACAGGCCCCGTCCCTCCCCCCCACCAACTCATCGCCCCTCACCAGAACACGCCCGAACGCACCCCCGAACTCCTCCGAAACAAGATCCAGACCAGGCATAACCCGCTCCAGAGTAGACATAGTCCTTTGCACTCCAGGCATAGCCCCCACCAGAACAGGCACAGTCCTTTGCAGAGGCACTACTCGGATGAGAGTCTCGGGGGGTTGTACGCCACTGGGGTACCTCAGCGTATTCATTCTTCAGCCGACGAGATCAGCTCGCTGAATCACTCTCCGAGTATCAGTAGTTCCGACGAGAGTTATAGTAGAACTACCGACGCTGACGCGTCGCCTTGCGTCTCTCCGCCTCTACCCACCGACACGCAGCAGTTCCTATTTCCTTCCGATATTCAAGTGAACCCGTGTTCGAGTCCGGAGGTGTCGCCGAGGGCGTCGCTGGATTATATACCGGCTAATTGCTCACTGCGTAACAATTCGACGGACAGGGTTAACGCGAAAAGGAATAACTTGCCGCCGAATGCGGTCCTGGCGCTGGCTGGTACCTGTAACACTGTGGATTCGTCGATCGTGACGAGTCCGCCGGTCCTGGACGGCGAGGAAAGTTGCAAAGGGGAAAGTTGTGCCAGTTTCGAGTTCGTGAGTCGACCCAAACCCAAGCCGACGTCGCTCTTGCGCGCGAACAGCGCCAACGGCGCCGTCTCCAAGATCCCCGTGAAACAAAAGAGCTTGGACAAGCGCACGAGGAACGACAGCGACTCGGTGCTCGAGTGTAACAAGCTAGCGGCGAACTGCAAACGCTCGCCGAGTTTCAAAGAAGCCGAAGAAATCCGGGAGCTCCTCAAGGAAGACGAAACGAAAAACGAAAAGAGTCTGAAAAAGGACGGCTGCTGCCAGACCGACAAGAAGGACTTGAGGAGGTTTAAGACGTCTCCGTCGGGATTCAGGGATAAGATCTCCCCGAATAACAAAGTGAATAACACCGAGAACGAGAATTTGATCGGGCCGTTCGAGAGAGAGATCCAGAAGCTGCTCGACGAACAGAATCTCTTGCAAAATATCCCTCCAAAATTCGAGCTTAATCAACAGAATAAAGATTTGGCTTTGGAGCCGCTCGTAAGGTACGCTCCAAACAATAACAATCACCAGGTGGGCCTTGCGGCGATACAAGCTCTAGCTCTAGGCTTGAGAGTGAATCCCACGGGCAGTGTTACCCTACAGTGCATGTCCCCTCCTAGAGCAAGCAGCAAAGAGGGATCGCTTAAGAGGGGAGCCTCCCCTGGACCGTCCGAATCTCATAAACAGCCAAAAGTCTCGCCTCTTGACAGGTATTAATAGAAACGCTAATCGGGTTTTCATCTAACACGCAGTAGCGGGATACGACACGCACACGAGTAGGCGCGCGATGAGACTGACGTCACCACGTAACGCGACCAATCAGATTGGAGTAGTCGTGGCGCCAAGTTCAAAATTGTTTTTTTCGTTTGATACACGACACTGTATCCCGCTACGTAACTCTAGCCTCTGTAGCTTCATTAACATACTGACTCATGCTGCTTGCTCGGCACATCATGCTTGCAATCATTTCATTTCAGTGTTTCACGAGGGCACTAAACTCGTCTCGAGCTTTTCATTTCCACCCACTTGCAATAATTTTCACTTGTCGTTTTCTCGCCAGAGCTCCGAAATCGACCGAAGAGGTCGATATTGACTGTGATATGCCTGAAGTTCAGAAGAGAGACGACGACACCGACCTCGAAAGTTTCGAAAGGGAAGAGAAGCGCATGGAAGAAGAAGCAGCAAGGGTAAGTACTTACGTTACTTCATTGATTAAGGACATAGAGATAGACCTATCCTATTGTTTGGAGCGAACATGCCGTCAAATAGCGCACATAGACTACCCACATAACAGCAACAAAACTGTTCTTAAATCTTCCATTCGATAGACGGCGACGTAAAAAAAAATGTAAGAATTTCATACTAGGTATTAAGATAATTTACAACGTTGCCAGATCAGGCTAACACAACTTTACTTTACTTGTTAATTGTATTGAAAACGTAAAAATAAATATAAATAACACATTGCAATTTTTACTTCCCGAGCGTACGCTACGCTTTTCACGATTTTTCGATTTTTTAATTAAAAGAACCAATTTATTCGAACTGAAATTTTGAAAACCGAAAAATCCAAAAATTGAAAATTATAAACAAAATTTTCAGATGTTTTAAGTTACGGTAAACGTGGTCCAAAATCCCGGCGACAAAAAATCAAAAATCGAAAATTTAAAAAAATAAACATCTATTTTCTCGATATTTTTAAAAATCAGATAATTGAGAAGTCAGAAAAATTGTAAAATTAAAAATTCGAAAGTTTTTTTCAGTTGCCCACAGAAATCAAAAATCGAAAGACAGATCAAAAGATTGAAAATTTAAAAGGCGAGAAATTTAAAAATTCGAAAGTTGAAAAAACGAAAAACTGAAAAATCTAGCAGTATTCGCTACGATAAGACTGATTTTGGCAGATGACCCACCCTTCTAAGAAAATAAAGGGTGGGTGGGCGGGGCTAGTACTTGTCAAGATAAGACTGATTTTGGCAGATGTATTATTCTTCTAAGAAAATAAAGGCTGGGTGGATGGGGCTAATACTTGCTAAAAATAAATAAACTTAAAAATCAAAAAATCACAAATTGAAAAATCGGATAAGTGAGAAATTAGAAAATTTTAGAACTGTATAATCCGAAAATCAAATTTTAACTTGAGAACTTGAAAAATCAAAAGATTGGAATTAAAAACTCCAAAATTGTCAAACAAATTATTATCAAATGAACTATTCAAAAGTTGAAAAATCTAAAAACTAAAAAAAATGAAAACTGGAATTTAGAATTCTATTTTATAAGATATTTTTTCAATTTTTCGATATTTCAGTTTTTGATTTTCCGATTATTATACAGTTGTACAATTTTCCGATTTCTCTTTTATACGATTTTTCAATTTGTCATTTTTTGATTTTTAAATTTTTTGTTTTTAGGTAGTACTAGAACCACCCACCGTTTATTTTCTCAGAAGAGTGGGTCATCTGCCAAAATCAGTCTTATCTTAACAAGTACTAGCCCCGCCCACCCACCCTTATTTTCTTAGAGGATATGTCATTTGCAAAAATCAGTCTAATACTTGCCAACATAGGACTGATTTTGGCAGATGACATATCCTCTAAGAAAATAAGGGAGGGTGGCTGGGGGGCTAGTACTTGCCAAAATAAGACTGATTTTGGCAGATGACTTATTCTTCTAAGAAAATAAAGGCTGGGTGGGTGGGGCTAGTACTTGCTAAAAATAAAAAATTTAAAAATTAAAAAATAACAAATTGAAAAATCGGATAAATGAGAAATCGGAGTTTTTAAATTTTTCAACTTTTTAATATTTCATTTGATAATTTGTTTGACAATTTTGCAGTTTTTAATTCCAATTCTTTTGATTTTTCAAGTTTTAACTTTACAATTTTGGATTTTTTTGATTTTTAATTTTTCAAGTTCTCACGTTAAAATTTTTCCTTTTCACGATTTGTCATTTTTCGATTTTTTACTTAAAAGAGCCAATTTATTCGAACCGAAATTTTGAAAAACCGAAAAATCCAAAAATTGAAAATTAGAAACAAAATTTTCAGATGTTTTAAAGTTACGGTAAACATGGCAAATCGCTGATGAAAATTATTTTTTACTCCCTTGCAAAAACCCGGTGACAAAAAATCAAAAATCGAAAATTAAAAAAAAAATAAACATTTATTTGCTCGATATTTTAAAACTGCCAACATTGTAAAATTAAAAAATTGAAAGTTTTTTTCAGTTGCCCAGAGAAATCAAAAATCGAAAAACAGATAAAAAATCGAAAATTTAAAAAGCGAGAAATTGAAAAAACGAAAAACTGAAAAATCTAGTAGTACTCGCTACGATAAGACTGGTTTTGGCAAATGATCTACTCTCTAAGAAAACAAAGGGCGGGTGGGTGGAGTTAGCACTTGCTAAATAACCTACCCTCTAAGAAAATAAAAGGCGGGTGGGCCAGGCTAGTATTTGCCAAAGTTTGACAAATGACCTACTCTTCTAAGAAAAGGTACTAGCCCCGCCCACCCACCCTTTATTTTCTTAGAAGAGTAGGTCATCTGCCAAAATCAGTCTTAGCTTGGCAAGTATGAGACTGATTTTTGCAAATGACATACCCCCTAAGAAAATAAGGGTGGGTCGGCGGGGCTAGTACTTGTCAAAATAAGACTGATTTTGGCAGATGACCCACTCTTCTAAGAAAATAAAGGGTGGGTGGGCGGGGCTAGTACTTGTCTAAACAAGACTGATTTTGGCAGATGACCCACTCTTCTAAGAAAATAAAGGGTGGGTGGGGGGAGGGCTAGTATTTGTTAAGATAAGACTGATTTTGGCAGATGACCTACTCTTCTAAGAAAATAAAGGGTGGGTGAGCGGGGCTAGTACTCGCTAAAAATCAAAAATTTAAAAATCGAAAAATGAACAATTGAAAAACCGGATAAATGAGAAATTGAAAAATTGTAAAACTGTATAATCCGAAAATCAAATTTTAACTTGAGAACTTGAAAAATTAAAAATCAAAAAATTCCAAAATTGTAAAATTAAAACTTGAAACATCAAAAGATTGGAATTAAAAACTGCAAAATTGTCAAACAAATTATCAAAAGAAATATTCAAAGGTTGAAAAATCTAAGAATTGAAAAAACTGAAAACTGGAATTTCGAATTCGATTTTATAAGATTTGTTTTATTTCAGTTTTTGATTTTCCGATTATACGGTTGTACAATTTTCCGATTTCTCATTTTTCCGATTTTTGAATTTGTTATTTTGGATTTTTAAATTTTTTATTTTGAGCTAGTAAGTAAGTCATGTGCCAAAATCAGTCTTATGTTGACAAGTACTAAACCCACCCACCCACCCTTTTTTTCTTGGAGGATATGTTATTTGCCAAAATCAGTTTTATCTTGGCAAGTATGAGACTGATTTTTGTAAATGATATCCTCTAAGAAAATAAGGGTGGGTGGGTGGGGCTAGTACTTGTCAAGATAAGACTCACATTATCAAATGACCTACTCTTCTAAGAAAAAGTACTAGCTCCACCCACCCACCCTTTATTTTCTTAGAACAGTGGGTCATCTGCCAAAATCTTTTTATTTCAACAACTACTAGTCCCGCCCACCCACCCTTATTTTCTTAGAGGATATATCATTTGCAAAAATCAGTCTCATACTTGCCAAGATAAGACTGATTTTGGCAGATGACCTATCCTTTTTTTTTTTTTTTTTTTTTTTTTTTTCTTAGAAGAGTGAGTCAATTGCCATAATCAGTCTTATCGTAGGGAGTACTGATAGATTTTTCACTTTTTCTTTTTTTCAACTTTCGAATTTTTCAATTTTTTGATCTGTCTTTAGATTTTTGATTTCTCTGGGTAACTGAAAAAAATTATCGATTTTTTAGTTTTACAATTTTGGCAGTTTTCCGACTTCTCAATTATTTGATTTTTAAAAATATCGAGAAAATAGATGTTTATTTTTTTTAATTTTCGATTTTTGATTTTTTTTACCGGGTTTTTGGAAGGGAATAAATAGTAATTTTGATCAGCGATTTGCCATGTTTACCGTAACTTTAAAACATCTGAAAATTTTGATTCTTATTTTCAATTTTTTATTTTTCGGTTTTTCAAAATTTCGGTTCGAATAAATTTGTTCTTTTAATTAAAAAATCGAAAAATGACAAATCGTAAAAAACAAAAAATTTTAACTTGAGAACTTGAAAAACTAAAAATCAAAAAATTCCAAAATTGTAAAGGTAAAAGTCGAAAAATCAAAAGATTGGAATTAAAAACTGCAAAATTGTCAAACAAATTATTATAAAACTAAAATATTTAAAAGTTAAAAATCTAAAAATTAAAAAAAAATGAAAACTGGAATTTCGAATTCGATTTTATAAGATCTGTTTTTTTTTTCAGTTTTTCGATATTTCAGTTTTTGATTTTCCGATTATACAGTTGTACAATTTTCCGATTTCTCATTTATCCGATTTTTCTTTTTCTCATTTTTTGATTTTTAAATTTATATTTTTAGCAAGTACTATCACACCCACCCTGACTTTATTTTCTTAGAAGAATAAGTCATCTGCCAAAATCAGTCTCATCTTGACAAGTACTAGCCCCACCCACCCACCCTTTATTTTCATAGAAGAATGGGTCATCTGCCAAAATCAGTCTTATCTTGACAAGTATTAGCCCCCCGCCCACCCTCCCTTATTTTCCTAGAGGATATGTCATCTGCCAAAATCAGTCTTATCTTGACAAGTATTAGCCCCCCGCCCACCCACCCTTATTGTCTTAGAAGATTGGGTCATCTGCCCAAAATCCGTCTTATCTTGACAAATACTAGCCCCGCCCACCCACCCTTATTTTCTTTGAGGATATGTTATTTACAAAAATTAGTCTCATACTTGCCAAGATAAGACTGCTTTTGGCAGATGACCTACTTTTTTACGAAAATAAGGGTGGGTGGGCGGGGCTAGTACTTTTTCTTTAAACAATAGGTCATTTGTCAAAATGAGTATTATTTGGCAAGATAATTTTCCGCTAAATTAAGAGTGATACTACCTTAACAGTATTCATTATATTTTCCAAACTGTTTAAGTTCAACTCAAGTATTGTTTTTTGTTTAGTAGCTTACCAGATATTTAATAAATAATAAAATTATTAAAGCAGTTCAATTTAAATTAAGTCAGATGAATTTTGATTAAACAGATGCTTTGTTTTTCCATGTAATATATTTATATTACATAAAATATTTCAATTTACAAAAACTGCAGCTTAGAAAAAAGTTTTCATTTTGTAACCTGTGATCAATATCTATTTTACAAGCAAATGTGAGATTTTACTATGTGCAACAACGATTTTTGGATTGAAATTTTTTTTTACCTTACATTTTTCTGCAAGATTTTTCGCTTGCCCAGGTAGTGGACGAAAGTAGGTAGGTAGCAATGGAATAACGGGATTATACTGATCGTTTTAAAGAGTGCTCTTCCAATTGGGCGTAGACTAACGAATTTGTTGTGTTAGGCTCAGCTAGCAACTTTATAAATTATCTTAATGCTTACTATGAAATTCTTATAAAATTGTTGGTGCGCTCTCTATCGAGTGGTAGATTTAAGAACAGTTTTTTTGCTGTTATGGGTGGTCTATGGCATGTTCGCTCCAAACAATAGGTCTATCTGTACGTACTTAAACAATGGTTATTTCGTCTGTCCCTTTTTTGAAAACCGACCTTGATTCCATGCAGCCGGTGGACCGCGAGTTGGTAAAGTCGACTTTCTATAATAATTACCTAAACAGTCTGTATGTGTCGCGCTTGCAGGAGGAGGAAGTGAAGAGGTTGCTCGAAGAGAAGGTCCAAGAGAAGTTGAGGAGTCTCGAAAACGGGGCGGCGGAGGCGCAAGCCGCCGCCGCCGAAGGTAGCCAATCGGAGTGGTCGGAAGACGAGGACGGGGGGGCGTCGGAGCCGCTTTTGAACGACAGGGAGTCCACAGGGTACACCACGGACGATCCGGCTCTGGAGAACATATCCATGATTCACGAAACCGGACTCACCGATGCCGAGGGTAGGTCTCGTTCGTTTCGTCTCTCATTTGTTTGGTAAATTGACGGTTTTACGAGAAATCGCTCGGTTATTCGTTGTGATCATTTAATTGTGTATGTTGCAGGACCTAAGCCGGAGCATTAGCGAGGCCGTAGGTTTGTGCTTAAGTCACTTGTTACGAATGGTTAGCCACCTATGCCTAAACCTAGTTGGGTAGATCGATTAACTGTAGCAAAGCGTTTGTGCTAATGCTTCGGCGACCCTTAATTCTTTCGTGCTTAAAATTTTGAAACTCATGCACCGTGTTAGCGTTAGTGCACTTTTATTCGTGTTGTGTGTTGGAGTGTTGATGGTTTTTCTCGTTTGTAGGTGCATTGAGTGACGTCAACTCGGCTTATAACGACCACAACCACGACGGAGACATGGACGACAACACCAGCATGTCGTCTCGGGCTTCATCCCGCATCTTCGACTCGGACGCCATGATGTCGTTGGATTCCCTCAGTGCTCTCTACGATTCGGAATACGATAATTGCTATCGAACTGATGACGATCTAAATGCAGTACCTGACCTCGACAGACTCAACTACTTTTCAGTGCCTGCGAATGACGTTCATCTCGCAAACATTCGATCGATGAGTGAGAGTATAACTAGAAACTTTGGACAACCACGAAGCGAAACTGATCCAGATAGTGATGTTTGAAGTAGGTGCGATCGATTAGGATCTTAAATTTTCTATAAGTTGGTAAATTATATTAACAAAGACTATTTGTCGATATTAATCTGAATGTATATTTCAATGGAGATGCGGAGATTGGAAGTGGGGTGATTGTCTTCTAGTAGGGGTATTATTCTCGAATCGATTAGTGAGGCGCCCTCTGTCGGTCAGGTCTTGTTAATCAATATCTTTTGGTATTTTTTGTTTTTTGATATTTAGAGTAGACACGTGCAGTGGTGCTTCTAGCCGAAGGGACTGATTCATTTGTGATCTTCGTTTCGTAGGCAGCTCTCTATAAAGCTGGATATCACCCACTTGTAGTTGGTTTAAACCAAAGAATGCAATTTTATACAATAGTGATATCTTTGTTGTACGATTCATAATTTTATTACTTAACTAAATACTAAAAGGAATGATAGTGGCTCAAATAACTTGTATAAATAAACCTTGCTGCGGCGTCTCATTTTTTTATGTACATATATACAATTGTCATTTGGTTCTTTTATTTATTTTATTTGTAACGTTTATTTTATCTAAGTTTCAACATCCTGTTACCATCATTGAGGCAATATTTTGTATTTTTATTAATATATATAGTTTATTTATGCAATTATAAATTGCCGTTTGTACTTAAATTATGTGTAAAGCTCGAAAATTTTGTACTTCTTTTTATATACTTTTGTTACAGTTTACATGAAATGTATTATTTGTTAATTAAACCGAATTACGTTATGCTCCCGTTCCGGGAACGTAATGTAGTTTCCTGTTTCTGTGATCACCATCTCTAAGTGTAGCACTAAAAATATATCGGTGGTATGTAAATAACTTCTATTTTCTTCAGAAAATATCCATCTTGGTGTTTATTATTATTGTTGTTCTCTTTGTATTTCCTGTTTTCTGTAATTATATTTTCTACTCTAATCTGTAAAGACTAAAATTATCAATGTGTTGGAAAATTTTTAATGATTTATTAAATGCTTATAAAGTAAAACCAAATACATCATAAAACAGACTGGATTGGTACGCTCTTATTCAAACTTTGACGCAACTGACCTTGAACGAGATTATTCCCGAATGCAGTATAGTTCATGAACGCAGTATAAGTCAGTTTTTCGATTTCAATTTTAAAATTACAAATGTCACTTATAGTTGAACGAAAGTCCGCGTGGCGCCACCATCGCCAACATAACATTGTCAAATTTGAGGTTAAGTCCGACGACTTGAATAAACCAAAACAAACTTTTTACGTTATCACGACTCGAATAACAACAAGGTTGGTATTCAACGCCTCCATAACAAACATAAATTATATTTTCCCCCAAAAGCCGCCACCATGATGAGCAGCGGCAGCAGCGAGGAAGAAAACGAGCCCCGACAGTCCCTCCACCGTGTCGCCAAGAAGTCCACCACCAACTCCAAGCCGTACCCAATTCGGCGCATGCAAGGCACCCAACACCAGAAAACCCTAACTGTAGCCAACCGGTTCCTTGAAAATTTCAACCCAGAAACGAGTGTCCGGGAAAAGCGGAAACTCAATCGCAAGATTAACCCCCCCAGCAATATACGTCGCCCCCCGGGAGCTCTGTACGACGAAAACGGGATTCATATTGCGTCGTGTACGGACTTGTGTGACTGTCTAATGGAGGACTGTGTGGGCTGCTTTTTTCCGTGCCCCAAGTGTGGCTCGCAGAAGTGTGGGATTGATTGTCGCGTGCACAGGAAATTCATGTATGATCAGATTGAGTATCACGGGTATGATATTATCGTGAAGAATCCCTTGTTTAAAAATTGAGGGGTTTTAAAAATGGGGATTTTGTGATTGATTTATGGGAGAGGGTGACGAGATTGCGTACTGCAATTAATGAATAAAGAATGGTTGAAAAGGGATGGAAGCTCGTTCTGTCTCTCTGACCCCTCCCTCGTTTCCTTTGTGACTCAACTTTAAAAATGTTTTAACAAAAAGCAAAGATAAAAAAGTAACTTTTATTTTACAGTCACATATTTGGTGTATAAAAATTGCGATGTACATACATTTTAAAAGTATTTAGTTAAATTTCGAAAATCGGCGAAAATGGATCGAAATTTGCTAATACTTGCCAAATAACCCACCCTCTAGGAAAATAAAAGGCAGGTAGGCCAGGCTAGTATTTGCCAAAATAAGACTCACTTTGGCAAATGACCTACTCTTCTAAGAAAAGGTACTAGCCCCGCCCGCCCACCCTTTTTTTTTCTTTTCTTAAAAGAGTGGCTCATCTGCCAAATCTTCTTATTTTAACAAGTACTAGCCCCGCCCACCCACCCTTATTTTATTAGAGGATATGTCATTTGCTACAATCACTCTCTTCATGACAAGTACTAGCCCCGCCCACCCACCCTTTATTTTCTTAGAAGAGTGGGTCATCTGCCAAAATCAGTCTTATTGTAGCGAGTACTGCTAGATTTTTCAGTTATTCGTTTTTTCAATTTCTGGACTTTTAAATTTTCAATTTTTTGATCTGTCTTTCGATTTTTGATTTCTCTGGGCAACTGAAAAAAACTTTCGAAATTTTAATTTTACAATTTTGACCGTTTTCTGATTTCCGAATTATTTGATTTTTAAAATTATCGAAAAAAACAGATTTTTTTTTTAATTTTCGATTTTTGATTTTTTGTCACCGGATTTTTGGACGGGAGTGAAAAGTAATTTTGATCAGCGATTTGCCATGTTTGACGTAACTTTCAAACATCTGAAAATTTTGTTTCAAATTTTCAATTTTTGGATTTTTCGGTGTTTCAAAATTTCGTTTCGAATAAATTTGTTCTTTTAAATTAAAAAATCGAAAAAAGACAAATCGTGAAAAGGAAAAGTTTTAACTTGAGAACTTGAAAAATTAAAAATCAAAATTTTAATTTTTTTTATTTTTAGCAAGTACTAGCCCACCCACCCTTTATTTTCTTAGAAGAGTGGCTCATCTGCCAAAACCAGTCTTATCTTGACAAGTACTAACCCCGCCCACCCACCCTTATTTTTTTAGAGAATATGTCATTTGCAAAAATCAGTCTTATACTTGCCAAGATAAGACTGATTTTGGCAGATGACTTATTCTTTAAGAAAATAAGGGGGGGTGGGCGGGAGTCAAGTACTCGCCAAGATAAGACTGATTTTGGCAGATGACTTATTCTTCTAAGAAAATCAAGGGTGGGTGGGCGGGGCTAGTACCTTTTCTTAGAAGAGTAAGTCATTGGCTAAAATGAATCTTATTTTGGCAAATACTAGCCCGGCGCACCCGCCTTTTATTTTCTTAGAGGGTAGAAAAATAGGTAAGTGCTAGCCCCACCCACCCGCCCTTTGTTTTCTTAGAGAGTAGATCATTTGCCAAAACCATTCTTATCGTAGCGAGTACTGCTAGATTTTTCAGTTTTTCGTTTTTTCAACTTTCGAATTTTTCATTTTTTCGCCTTTTAAATTTTCAATATTTTGATCTGTCTTTCGATTTTTGATTTCTCGGCGAACTGAAAAAACTTTCGAATTTTTACAATTTTGGCATTATTCCGACTTCTCAATTAATTATTTGATTTGTAAAAATCTCGAGAAAATAGATGTTTATTTTTTAAATTTTTTGTCAGCAGGCTTTTGGATGGGAGTAAAAAGTAATTTTGATCAGCGATTGCCATGTTTACCGTAACTTTAAAACATCTGAACATTTTTCTTCCAATTTTCAATTTTTGAATTTTTCGGTTTTTCAAAATTTCGGTTCGAATAAAGTTGTTCTTTTAATTAAAAAATCGAAAAATGAGAAATCATGAAAAGGAAAAATTTTAACTTGAATACTTGAAAAATTAAAAATCAAAAAATTCCAAAATTCTAAAGTTAAAACTTGAAAAATTAAAAGGATTGGAATTTAAAAACTGTAAAATTGTCAAACAAATTATAAAATGAAATATTGAAAAGTAGAAAAATCTTGAAAGCTAAAAAAAATGAGAACTGGAATTTCGAATTCGATTTTATAAGATTTGTTTTTTTTTTTTTGATATTTCAGTTTTTGATTTTCGGATTATACAGTTGTACAATTTTCCGATTTCTCATTTATCCGAATTTTCAAATTGTCATTTTTTGATTTTTAAGTTTTTTATTTTTAGCAAGTACTAGTCCCACCTACCTCCCTCTTTTTTTTAGAGGATATATCATTTCCCAAAATCGGTCTTAAACTCAAACACAAAAAAAGGGAGGGTGGGTGGTTGGGGCTAGTACCTTTTAAGAAAAAACTGATTTTGGCAAATGACATACCTTCTAAAAAAAGAGAGGGTGGGTGGGTGGGGCTAGTACCTGATAAGATAAAACTGATTTTGGCAGATGACATACCTTCTATGAAAACAGAGGGTGGATGGGTGGGGCTAGTACCTGCTACGATAAAACTGATTTTTGCAAATGACATATCCTCAAAGAAAAGCCGCCCCTTAATTTCGTCGAAGATATGTCAATTGCCAAAATCAGTCTTATTTAAACAAATATTAGCCCCACCCACCCGCCCTGTATTTTCATAGAGGATATGTCATCTGCCAAAATCAGTGTTATCTTGACAAGATTTTGGCAGATGACCTATTCTTCTAACAAAATAAGGGTGGGTGGGCGGTGTTAGTACCTTTTCATAGAAGAGTAGGTCATTTGTCAAAATGAGTCGTATTTTCCAGTTTCCATTCATTTTTTTAGTTTTTAGATTTTTCAACTTTTGAATATTTCATTGGACAAATTGTTTGACAGTTTTGCAGTTTTTAATTCCAATTTTTTGATTTTTCAAGTTCTCAAGTTAAAGTTTGTATTTTACAATTTCTCATTTATCCGATTTTTCAATGTCATTTTTTAATTTTTTGCAAGTACTAGCCCCACTCACCCAGCCTTTCTTTTCTTAGAAGAATAAGTCATTTGCCAAAATAAGTCTCTTCTTGACAAGTACTAGCACCGCCCACCCACCCTTTATTTTCTTAGAAGAGTGGATCATCTGCTAAAATCAGTCTTATCTTGACAAGTACTAGCCCCGCCCACCCACCCCCTATTTCCTTAGAGGATATGTCATTTGCCAAAATCAGTCTCATCTTGACAAGTACTAGCCCCGCCCACCCACCCTTTATTTTCTTACAAAAATGGGTCATCTACCAAAATCAGTCTTATCTTGATTATTATATTAAAGAATGTCATATTTGCAAAAATCAGTCTCATACTTACTTGCCAAGATAAGACTTATTTTGGCAGATGACCTACTCTTCTAAGAAAACGGGTGGGTGGGCGGGGCTAGTATCTTTTGTTAGAAGAGTAGGTCAGTTGTCAAAATGAGTCTTATTTTGACAAATACTAACCTGCTACGATAAAACTGATTTTGGCAAATGACATATCCTCTAAGAAAAGCCGCCCTTATTTTCTTAGAGGATATGTCAATTTCCAAAATCAGTCTTATCTTAACAAATATTAGCCCCGCCCACCCGCCCTGTGTTTTCATAGAGGATATGTGATCTGCCAAAATCAGTGTTATCTTGACAAGATATCAGTGTTATCTTGACAAGATAACACTGATTTTGGCAGATGACCTATTCTTCTAACAAAATAAGGGTGGGTGGGCGGGGCTAGTACCTTTTCTTAGAAGAGTAGGTCATTTGTCAAAATGAGTCGTATTTTCCAGTTTCCATTCATTTTTTTAGTTTTTAGATTCTTCAACTTTTGAATATTTCATTGGATAAATTGTTTGACAGTTTTGCAGTTTTTAATTCCAATCTTTTGATTTTTCAAGTTCTCAAGTTAAAGTTTTATTTTCGGATTATACAGTTTTACAATTTTACAATTTCTCATTTATCCGATTTTTCAATGTCACTTTTTAATTTTTTATTTTTAGCAAGTACTAGCCCCACCCACCCAGCCTTTCTTTTCTTAGAAGAATAAGTCATTTGCCAAAATAAGTCTCTTCTTGACAAGTACTAGCCCCGTCCACCCACCCTTATTTTCTTAGAGGATATGTTATTTGCAAAAATCAGTCTCATACTTGCCAAGATAAGACTAATTTTGGCAGATGACCTACTCTTCTAAGAAAATAAGGGTGGGTGGGGGGGGCTAGTACCTTTTCTTAGAAGAGTACGTCATTGGCCAAAATGAGTCTTATTTTGGCAAATACTAGCCTGGCCCAATCGCCTTTTATTTTCTTAGAGGGTAGGTTATTTGGCAAGTGCTAGCCAGACCCACCCGCCCTGAGTTTTCTTAGAGAGTAGGTCATTTGCCAAAATTAGTCTTATCGTATCGAGTACTGCTAGATTTTTCAGTTTTTCGTTTTTTCAACTTTCGAATTTTTCAATTTCTCGCCTTTCAATTTTTTAATTTTGCAATTTTGGCAGTTTTCCGATTTCCCAATTATTTGATTTTTAAAATTCTGGAGAAAATAGATGTTGATTTTTTTTAATTTTCGATTTTTGATTTTTGTCACCTGGTTTTTGGAAGGGAGTAAAAAGTAATTTTGATCAGCGATTGCCATGTTTACCGAAACTTTAAAACATCTGAAAATTTTGTTTCCAATTTTCAATTTTTGGATTTTTCGGTTTTTCAAAATTTCGGTTCGAATAAAGTTGTTCTTTTAATTAAAAAATCGAAAAATGAGAAATCATGAAAAGGAAAAATTTTAACTTGAATACTTGAAAAATTAAAAATCAAAAAATTCCAAAGTCACAAAGTTAAAACTTGAAAAATCAAAAGGATTGGAATTAAATATTCAAAAGTTGAAAAATCTAAAATCTAAAAAAATGAGAACTGGAATTTCGAATTCGATTTTATAAGATTTGTTTTTTTTTTCAATTTTTCGATATTTCAGTTTTTGATTTTCCGATTATAGAGTTATACAATTTTGCGATTTCTCATTTATCCGATTTTTTTATTCTTAAATTTTTATTTTTAGCAAGTACCACCCACCCAGCCTTTATTTTCTTAGAAGAATAAGTCATCTACCAAAATCAGTCTTGTCTTGGCAAGTACTAGCCTACCGCCCACCCTCCCTTTTTTTCTTAGAGGATATGTCATTTGCCAAAATCTGTCGCTTCTTGACAAGTACTAGCCCCGTCCACCCACCCTTATTTTCATGCAGGATATGTCATCTGCCAAAATCAGTCTTATCTTGGCAAGTATGAGACTGATTTTTGCAGATGACCTACTCTTCTAAGAAAATAAGGGTGGGTGGGCGGGGGTAGTACCTTTTCTTAGAAGAGTAGGTCATATGTCAAAATGAGTCTTATTTGGCAAGATAACTTTCCGCTAAATTAAGACCTGATACTAACTTAGCAATATTTACTATATTTTCCAAAATGTTTAAGTTCAATTCAAGTATTTTTTTTTGTTTAGTAGCTTACCAGATATTTAATAAATAAATAAAGTTATTAAAGCAGTTCAATTTAAATTAAGTCAAATGAATTTTGATTAAACAGATGCTTTGTTTTTCCATGTAATACATTTATATTACATACAATATTTCAATTTACAAAAACTACAGCTTAGAATATCTATTTTACAGTCAAATTTTACAATGTACAACAACAATTTTTGATTGAAAAATAGTTTTTTTTTACTTTCCATTTTTTGCTTTTTATTTTTATTACTCCAAGATTTTTCGCAGGTAGTGGACGAAAGTAGGTAGGTAGCAATGGAATAATGCTATCATACTGACAGTTTTAAAGACTGCTCTTCCAAACTAAAAAATTTGGTAAATTTCATTGGAAGAGTAAATAAAATGGGATTTTGGTGATTGATTTTATGGGAGCGGGTGAAATTGCGTATTGCAACAAAAAGCAAAGATAAAAGAGTAACTTTTATTTTACAGTCACATATATGCTCTATAAAAATTGCGATGTACATACATTTTAGAACACTTATAAAATTTAAATACTTCTTAAAAATAAACAGTCACAATTAGCGTCTTACAACTAGTAAAATAAGGCATGTTTGAGGCACATCAAATAACACCAATGGCAGCTTGTCCCTGTCAGATTTCGATTCGTCACAAGCTTTAATAATACTTGAAATCTGACCAGAGATGCAGAATTAATTAGAGAGTAGGTATACAATATCCATAGATACATTAATACGAGTACATTTGGTTAAACACATTTTCTAATAATAGTACTTCGTTTTCATTCAAACTTAATCGTCTTGACCGTGAGAATGTTTAGTTTATCTTGATTTGTTGAATGCTTACCTGGCACGTGTCGATTAGTTACAGCACATAAATTATTCCCAATGTGGGAGACGGACATAATTGACAAATATAGGTAAAATACACTGTAATAACCTTGATTCTACCTATCTACAAGCTTCGTGTAGTTGGTTGCCTACTAAATGCATGACAAGGTTGTGCCGCCTCTCGGAAAAACTACGCCTACTACGTGATACAAATTCCAACTACTCCGATGTGTTCTAGAAAACTTTGGCATGACTGACACGAAAAAATAGTTCAAACCACTGAAAGAGTGCGTTTTTAATGAAAATTGTGCCACATTACATACTGCTTGAAAAAATAATTATGTGTAAAATGAACTAAGAAAATAATAAATACTACAACTCAACTCAAAATAATTTAAATGTACCAAAAATTAACAAATACCCTTACAACTTACAAACCCCTGTAACTTCTGAGGGCAAATATTGTACTCAGTAAGTAGAGCGCGGACAGGACGATGCCGATTATCTGCAAGGAAACAAATTTTCAAGGAGTTAACTTGAGCTTCAAACTGGTACCATTGTTTAAGTTTATTATAGTTGAACAACCTAACACAAATTTTACTTCGCCTAAATAGTGAGCTTTAGGACAAGGAATTCAGGGGGCGTGGGACAAATTTTTCGTCAACGCGCATTTTCACTACAGTGAGCCAACGTATTAGGTTTATTTTACTCTACATCAGATGGCGCCATCAAACATTAGCAAAGGCAAACACCCTTCACTCTGCTGTTATACGAGGAGTTATCCATAAATCCATAATTAACATTGTTCCGTAAACAGTAATGTGTATAAACATATATGTACAAAATATGAAAATATACTTGACATTAAAAATATGAAGCAACGCGTTGTAACGTGATACGAAAGAATTGAATTTAAATGAATTTGACGCCTATTTTCATTTTACTATATCTGAAGACTGACAGAAACTTTCCAAGGATTTTTAAACTGGTATAATTGTTTAGTTTTACAAGATTAAAGTAAAACAAGATTTTAAGTAAAATTTGGATTCGTGGTGTTACAAAAATATTAACACAAAATGAAAATATATGTTCAAAGTAAATAACAGAATGACATAAACCTTTGGCGTTAACATTACAAATAATTACAAGAGAGAACAAAACGCATAAAGAACTTAAGAGGCATGTTTGTAATATCGAGTTGTTAAAGGCTGCTTTGAAGACTGTTTGTTTCTATGAAAAACAATTTTGATTTTGTTCCAAAAATACGAGATAACTAATTGTTTCTTGAACTAGTTTCCGTAACTTCTAAAATTTAAAAAGGATACGCCGTTCTGCTGTAATAAAATCTAGAATAAGGTCAAAATCACACTAATATTACATCTGATTTTGTTAACCTCATGAATATAATTTACATTAAAATAAGTTACAGACATTGTTTGAAATGTGTATTATAGTTCGAAAACAAGATAAAATAAATAAATAAATAAAATGTACAGTTTATAAACTTCAGAATTTTAGTATAAAAATAATCATGTTTGAAGCTTTATTTTGTCTGTTCGATTTTATTGGGTGTATTGGGCCCCTCTCGGGATATAACCTTAGATCATATAATAAATAGATACCACCATGCCGTGTTCTTTCCCTAGGACAGCCTGTGACGACATCCTACTGTCACACATCTCTCTCGTGCATGGAGGGATTACAATGGAGCTATCCTTGCCTGATCACTATTTGAATTTTGCGCGCCTAAATTTTAGGAAGTATGTCTGAACTAACTTCGGAAGAAAGATGTTGACAGCTTGATTTTATAAATAATTCACAGTAGATAACGAAAGGAATAGTAAATTATTTGGCAGCAATTGTGATCCTTTATGACTACATCACTTAAAATAGGATCTTTGTTCTAAATTCTAAAATTGTTTTTTGTACAACAACTCGAAAGAGAGGTTAGAAGAAACATCTGTCAAAAGCGATTTGTTGCGCTGGTGCGGTACAAGGATGGAAGTGAAATAGACATATACAGATGAAATGCATATAACAAAGATGAAGATGTGGTGATCACACAAGGATAGCATTATACTACTCCCCTGGACGTAGAAAACGACAACAGATAGCTTCATGTCTAGTCACACCTTTCAGTTTGAGTATTGGTATCTATTTATTATATGATCTAAGGATATAACACCGACATCATTGCACTTCAAGTGTTATTTTTTTTTAAGATATCATATTTGTCAGCGTTTCCAAAATTTTCTTATTTGCACAGGTCAACGAATTTTTCGTAAACCGCATTTTAAAACTTTTGTTATTGTATTTTTTACTTTTTAATTTTCTAAGGCATGAAAAAATCTCATATGGGTTTCTATGAATTTATTAACGAAATCAACTGATAACTTGCGCGCCATTTTGTGTTAATTAATACCAATAGTGATTATGATAATTTTATAATTATCATTTTAATGAAATTGTGTTCTTCACTTCGCGAACGACAGCAAACAATTTAAAATTACCGCTAGTCAAGCACCTGAAAATCCATCTCTTCCAAATATGTCTTTCTTGGCACGATTTGTAATCCGAAGTCTCCCTCCACATGCAATTTTCCGTCGCCTGAGAACTTGTTTGATCTACAGACCAAAGCACACTCAGGCCAATATCGGCTTTAAGCGATTTATCTATAAACCGATATTCGTTAGAGTTGATGTGATACACATCCACTACGAAGAACTAACCTATTTCGACCATTGGATTTTACAACGAATAAGTGAACAAAGTTCTTGAACATCTTAACGATTTATTAATACATAATGTTCCCGAATGACAAAATTTACATTTCAAATTGTATTATTAAATTACACTCTCCAAAATTTGTCACGAACAATGAAACGACGCAATCTCCAAATTTTACAATAGTAAAATTGTAGTTTCGCCTCGTTTACGGTTTATGCATCCGTGTCGAGTTTTCACCTTAGACGTCAAAATTTTTGGAAAAAAAATCAACAATTTCCAATTTATAATGTTATTTAAATTTTAAAAAGTAGAATAGTCCCGATCTTGTGATTTATACCTAAATACGCTATTGGGATTTTTCGGCTTGTCGATTTCTCGATTTTTCAACTTTAAATGTCTCAATTTTTCAATATTTCAATTTTGGGCTTTTCCGATTCCTCCATTTTTTAAATTTTCTATTTCTCGATTTTTTTATTTTTCGATTTCTCAATCTTTCGATGTTTCAATGATACGATTTCTCAATTTTTGTCCTCTTCAATTTTACGGTTTTTAAATACTTGGATTTTTCAATTTTTCAAATTTTCACGTTTCTAAATTTTCAGTTCGCCAATTTATAAAGTATTTTTTTTATTTGTCCATTTCTGGACTTCCTAAAGTTTCGACTTTGCACATTTTCAATTCTTCAATTTTTCGATTTTTTAAGATTACGATTTTTCAATTTTGCTTTTTTAGATTTTCGATTTCTCAATTTTCCAATTTTTTAATTTCTCAATTTTTTGAATATTTCTTTCAGTTATGAGATTTTTTAAATATTTCAATTTTTCAACTTTTCGATTTTTGAATTGATGGATTTTTTTGATTTCTCGCTTTTTTCCTTTTTGGATTTTCAATTTATTGTAAACTTTAGATTTTTCAATTCGGGAACTGTTTAATGCTTCGATTTCTCAATTTTTAAACTTTTCGATGTTTTAATGTTTCATTTTTTAAAATTCTAGGTTTTTCGATATCTCGAGTTTTCAGTTCTTCTATATTTCAATTTTTCAATTTTTAACTTTCCTTTTCGGCTTCCGACTCCTCAATTTCTCGATCCTCCGATTTTTCGATTTCTCGAAGTCTCAGTTTTTGAATTTTTCGATGTTTCGATTTTGGGATTTCTCGGTTTTTTGATTTTTTCCTTTTGAGCTTTTCAATTTCTGGATTTTCCAATTTTTCAATGCCCCGATTTCTCAATTTTTCAAATTGAATTGGATTTCTCGATTCTTCAATTTTGCGATATTTTAATTATTCATTGTTTTAAATTTTAGTTTTTTCGATTTCTCGATTTTTGACTTTTCAGTTCTTCAGTATTTAAATTTTTGAATTTTTCAAATTTTTGCGTTAAATTTTCAGATTTCTGATTTCTCAATTAATCTATTTTTGATTTTCCCACTTCTCAAAGTTTCGATTTTTCGGTTCTTCAATTCTTCGATTTCTCAATTTTTGGATATTTCTTTCAGTTTTGATATTTTTCAATACTTCGATTCTTTCATTTTTCGACTTCTAGATTTTTCTAATTTTATTTTTGGATTTTCAGTTTTTTGGTTTTTATTTCAATTTCTCAATTTTTCAACTTTTTCATATTTTAATTTTTAAATTTCTAGATTTTTCAGTTTCTCGAGTTTCCAGTTCTATATTTTAATTTTTTAAATTTACGAATGTTTAAATTTTTTGAGATCTCAATTCATTGAGATTCGGATGTTTCGCGATGTTTTGATTATTCAATCTCTCGCTTTATCAATTTTTCCATATTTAAGTTTTCGATTTTTCGATTTTGGCCTACTTCGGTTTCTCAATTTTTTGATTTTTCGACTTCTCGATTTTTCGGCTCGTCGATTTTTTGCCTTTTGATTTTTCGATTTCTCGATGTCTCAATTTTTGAATTTTACAATGTTTCGATTTTTCGATTTTTTGCTTTTCGGTTTCTCGATTTTTCGATGTTTCGATTTTTGATTTATCCGATTTTTCAATTGACCAATTTTTTAAATTCTCGACTTCTCGATTCGTTGATTTTTCAGTTTTTTGATTATTAAATTTTAGATTTTCATTTTTATTTTTTTTGATTTTTTGATGTTTGGATTTCTCCATTTTTCAGTTTTAGGATATTTTAACTTTTCAATGTTTTAAATTTTAGATTTTTCGATTTTTCAGTTCTTCAAAATTTTTTTATTTTTCAATTTTCGACGTTTCTGAATTTTTAGTTTTCGGATTTCTCAATTAATCTATTTTTTTATATTCCCATTTCTCCACTTCCTAAAGTTTCGATTTTTCAGTTCTTCAGTTCTTCAATTTTTCGATTATTCAGGTTTTTGATTTTTCAATTTTTCGATTTTTTAAGTTTGCGATTTTTAGACTCTGCTTTTTTGACTTTTCTGTTTCTCAATTTTTTAGTTTCCTAATTTTTTGATATTTCGTTCAATTTTGTGATTTTTCAGTTTTTCGATTTCTCAATTTTAACTTTTCAATTTTTGAAATTATTATTTTTTTCCGATTTTTTCCTAAAGTTTCGATTTTTCACATCTTCAATTCTTCAATTTTTCGATTTTTTAAGATTACGATTTTTCAATTTTGCTTTTTTAGATTTTCGATTTCTCAATTTTCCAATTTTTTAATTTCTCAATTTTTTGAATATTTCTTTCAGTTATGAGATTTTTTAAATATTTCAATTTTTCAACTTTTCGATATTTGAATTGATGGATTTTTTTGATTTCTCGCTTTTTCCTTTTTGGATTTTCAATTTATTGTAAACTTTAGATTTTTCAATTCTGCGACTGTTTAATGCTTCGATTTCTCAATTTTTAAACTTTTCGATGTTTTAATATTTCATTTTTTAAAATTCTAGGTTTTTCGATATCTCGAGTTTTCAGTTCTTCTATATTTCAATTTTTCAATTTTTCGATGTTTTGAATTTTAACTTTTGATTTTCCAGTTTTTCTTTTTTAAAATTTTTCGATTATTCAATTTTTTAATTTCTCAATTTATCGAATTCAGATGTTTCGTTGTTTTGATTGTTCAATTTCTCAATTTTTCTTTTTTAACTTTCCTTTTCGGCTTCCGACTCCTCAATTTCTCGATCCTCGGATTTTTCGATTTCTCGAAGTCTCAGTTTTTGAATTTTTCGATGTTTCGATTTTTGGATTTCTCGGTTTTTCGATTTTTTTCTTTTGAGCTTTTCAATTTCTGGATTTTCCAATTTTTCAATGCCCCGATTTTTCAATTTTTCAAATTGAATTGGATTTCTCGATTCTTCAATTTTGCGATATTTTAATTATTCATTGTTTTAAATTTTAGTTTTTTCGATTTCTCGATTTTTCAACTTTTTCATATTTTAATTTTTAAATTTCTAGATTTTTCACTTTCTCGAGTTTCCAGTTCTATATTTTAATTTTTTAAATTTACGAATGTTTAAATTTTTTGAGATCTCAATTCATTGAGATTCGGATGTTTCGATGTTTTGATTATTCAGTCTCTCGCCTTTATCAATTTTTCCATATTTAAGTTTTCGATTTTTCGATTTTGGCCTATTTCGGTTTCTCAATTTTTTGATTTTTCGACTTCTCGATTTTTCGGCTCCTCGATTTTTTGTCTTTTGATTTTTCGATTTCTCGATGTCTCAATTTTTGAATTTTACAATGTTTCGATTTTTCGATTTGTTGGTTTTTAGATTTTTTGCTTTTCGGTTTCTCGATTTTTCGATGTTTCGATTTTTGATTTATCCGATTTTTCAATTGTCCAATTTTTTAAATTCTCGACTTCTCGATTCGTTGATTTTTCAGTTTTTCGATTATTAAATTTTAGATTTTCATTTTTTTTTTTTTGATCTTTTGATGTTTGGATTTCTCCATTTTTCAGTTTTAGGATATTTTAACTTTTCAATGTTTTAAATTTTAGATTTTTCGATTTTTCAGTTCTTCAATATTTTTTTATTTTTCTATTTTTCAATTTTTGACGTTTCTGAATTTTTAGTTTTCGGATTTCTCAATTAATCAATTTTTTTATATTCCCATTTCTCCACTTCCTAAAGTTTCGATTTTTCAGTTCTTCAGTTCTTCAATTTTTCGATTATTCAGGTTTTTGATTTTTCAATTTTTCGATTTTTTAAGTTTGCGATTTTTAGACTCTGCTTTTTTGACTTTTCTGTTTCTCAATTTTTTAATTTCCTAATTTTTTGATATTTCGTTCAATTTTGTGATTTTTCAGTTTTTCGATTTCTCAATTTTAACTTTTCAATTTTTGAAATTATTTTTTTTCGATTTTTTGAGTTTTCAGTTCTTCTATATTTCAATTTTTCAATTTTCGGAATTTTTAAATTTTCGATTGTCCATTTTTTTTTATTTTTCGATTTTCCAATTTTTCGATGTTTCGATTTTTGAATTAACCGATTGTTCAATTCTCGATTTTTAAATTTTAGATTTTCCTATTTTAATTTTTTTGATTTTTTTATGTTTCGATTTCTCGATTTTACGATGTTTCAATGATACGATTTCTCAATTTTTGTCCTCTTCAATTTTACGGTTTTTAAATATTTCGATTTTTCAATTTTTCAAATTTTCACGTTTTTAAATTTTCAGTTTGCCGATTTCTAAAGTATTTTTTTTATTTGTCCGTTTCTGGATTTCCTAAAGTTTTGATTTTTCACATCTTCAATTCCTCAATTTTTCGATTTTTTAAGATTACGCTTTTCTATTTTGCTTTTTTAGATTTTCGATTTCTCAATTTTCCAATTTTTTAATTTCTCAATTTTTTGAATATTTCTTTCAGTTATGAGATTTCTCAATATTTCAATTTTTCGACTTTTCGATTTTTGAATTGATGGATTTTTTTTTATTTCTCGCTTTTTTCCTTTTTGGATTTTCAATTTATTGTAAACTTTAGATTTTTCAATTCTGGGACTGTTTAATGCTTCGATTTCTCAATTTTTAAACTTTTCGATGTTTTAATGTTTCATTTTTTAAAATTCTAGGTTTCTCGATATCTCGAGTTTTCAGTTCTTCTATATTTCAATTTTTCAATTTTTCGATGTTTTGAATTTTAATTTTTGATTTTCCAGTTTTTCTTTTTTAAAATTTTTCGATTATTCAATTTTTTAATTTCTCAATTTATCGGATTCAGATGTTTCGTTGTTTTGATTGTTCAATTTCTCAATTTTTCAATTTTTAACTTTCCTTTTCGGCTTCCGACTCCTCAATTTCTCGATCCTCGGATTTTTCGATTTCTCGAAGTCTCAGTTTTTGAATTTTTCGATGTTTCGATTTTTGGATTTCTCGGTTTTTCGATTTTTTTCTTTTGAGCTTTTCAATTTCTGGATTTTCCAATTTTTCAATGCCCCGATTTTTCAATTTTTCAAATTGAATTGGATTTCTCGATTCTTCAATTTTGCGATGTTTTAATCCTTGATTGTTTTAAATTTTAGTTTTTTCGATTTCTCGATTTTTTGACTTTTCAGTTCTTCAGTATTTAAATTTTTGAATTTTTCAAATTTTTGCGTTAAATTTTCAGTTTTCTGATTTCTCAATTAATCTATTTTTGATTTTCCCACTTCTCAAAGTTTCGATTTTTCAGTTCTTCAATTCTTCGATTTCTCAATTTTTGGATATTTCTTTCAGTTTTGATATTTTTCAATACTTCGATTCTTTCATTTTTCGACTTCTAGATTTTTCTATTTTTTATTCTTGGATTTTCAGTTTTTTGTTTTTTATTTCAATTTCTCAATTTTTCAACTTTTTCATATTTTAATTTTTAAATTTCTAGATTTTTCAGTTTCTCGAGTTTCCAGTTCTATATTTTAATTTTTTTAATTTACGAATGTTTAAATTTTTTGAGATCTCAATTCATTGAGATTCGGATGTTTCGATGTTTTGATTATTCAATCTCTCGCCTTTATCAATTTTTCCATATTTAAGTTTTCGATTTTTCGATTTTGGCCTATTTCGGTTTCACAATTTTTTGATTTTTCGACTTCTCGATTTTTCGGCTCCTCGATTTTTTTATCTTTTGATTTTTCGATTTCTCGATGTCTCAATTTTTGAATTTTACAATGTTTCGATTTTTCGATTTGTTGGTTTTTCGATTTTTTGCTTTTCGGTTTCTCGATTTTTCGATGTTTCGATTTTTGATTTATCCGATTTTTCAATTGTCCAATTTTTTAAATTCTCGACTTCTCGATTCGTTGATTTTTCAGTTTTTCGATTATTAAATTTTAGATTTTCATTTTTCTTTTTTTTGATCTTTTGATGTTTGGATTTCTCCATTTTTCAGTTTTAGGATATTTTAACTTTTCAATGTTTTAAATTTTAGATTTTTCGATGTTTCAGTTCTTCAATATTTTTTTATTTTTCAATTTTCGACGTTTCTGAATTTTTAGTTTTCGGATTTCTCAATTAATCTATTTTTTTATATTCCCATTTCTCCACTTCCTAAAGTTTCGATTTTTCAGTTCTTCAGTTCTTCAATTTTTCGATTATTCAGGTTTTTGATTTTTCAATTTTTCGATTTTTTAAGTTTGCGATTTTTAGACTCTGCTTTTTTGACTTTTCTGTTTCTCAATTTTTTAATTTCCTAATTTTTTGATATTTCGTTCAATTTTGTGATTTTTCAGTTTTTCGATTTCTCAATTTTAACTTTTCAATTTTTGAAATTATTATTTTTTTTCGATTTTTTGAGTTTTCATTTCTCTATATTTCAATTTTTCATTTTTCGGAATTTTTAAATTTTCGATTGTCCATTTTTTTTTTATTTTTCGATTTTCCAATTTTTCGATGTTTCGATTTTTGAATTAACCGATTGTTCAATTTCTCGATTTTTAAATTTTAGATTTTCCAATTTTAATTTTTTTGATTTTTTTATGTTTCGATTTCTCGAGTGAGATATAAAATATATATTCATTCTTTTCTACATGGGAAAGTGATTGTCCGTATAGGTTGTCCAACTATAATATACTTAAACAATGCTGGTACTTACAGCCGCTGCAAAATACGGCTCGTAGTCCCTCCCATAGCTCCTCTTCCAATGGTTTACCTCAATGACGAAGGTCAAGCTCGCCGCCAAATACAAAATGAAAGCGAACCCGTGGTAGACCACTTCCTGCAAACCGATAATTAAAATCCCGCAGGAAATGAACGCAATCCCGACTCACATAAATCGTCTTTGAAATGATCGACGCGGTGGAGATGGAAATCAGACACGACAGCAACAGCAGGAACGTCCCTACCAGAAACGTGACGGCCATCAGCAAAAAGAACGTTTCTGGGGTCTGATTAACGTGAGTGTAGTCTCGATAGTAGTGGCTGACCAAGCCGACCACGACTATTCCCAGTGCCTAAAAAAGGAAATAACGCATTATTCGTCGACCTCGGCTTTCTCTTTAGGTCAGCGCGACCTAGGCCTCTTTGCAACACCATATGGGGGACTATGCAAATTTTGGTGACGTCAGCGTTTGACGAAGGGCAGTAAAATTTTCGCCCGCTAAATACTAAATACCGCGATAATCCGCAGCGTATAATTCGAAATCTATAATACGAAGCGCGAACGCTGCGCTCTGACGTCAGTCCCTATTTTAAAAGTAAGTGATATTTTGTAAATATTTCTTACCAGCTGAAGGAACTTCAGAATGCCTGGCCATGTTTTTAAATATCCCGTGTTGAGGATGATGGCAGACGTGGTGGTCGTGGTCGTGGTCCTCGTTACCGTAACCGTGTGAGACATTTTCATAGATCAACTGCAAATATTTTTGGCACGATTATTAAGAAACATGATATACGCGTCGGGAGGAAAGCGAGCTTTGGAGGAGATTTCTCGTGGTGTATTTATAAGACGAGTTGTTATTCTTGGGATAAATGGGTCATCGACAACGCCAGAACACTACATGTTTTCGATTAGTAAATAGTGGGGTAAAAGTCGGGAAAAGTGAATCTGGCATTCCTTACGTTTACAATTCTGCCAAAAAAAATCAGTACCGAGTAATTTGCATATTACTCATTTTTATAAATAAATGTTACACAGAACGAGTGGCGGGTTCAAATCCCCCGCCGCCACACTAACAACCATCCAACACTAAATAATTACCGAACTCAATTAACTACTTTCAGCAAACAATCTATTTTTATTCTTCGCGTTTATTTGATCAACTCGAGCCTGCACACACATAAATTAAAAACTACCTCGATTTGAAAAATTGTCACAATTCCAGCACTGTTGAGCGATCTGTGACTCAATTCATTATCACTTAGTCGCTCGTTAATAACCCGACTTTTATCACAATGCAAATAACAAAACATCCAGAAATAAACTGCGAACTTGACTCACCGACGCCGATCAATATTTATGGGTTTTCTTGTAAGACTTCGCGACTGTATTAAGTAGTTTAATTAAATTGATGGGTGGATTGGGCAGTGTGGACGTTGCTAACTTTGCCCATGCACTACTAATGTTATTTTTATTGAATGACTTACCTGTTGGAGTTTTGTTTATGGTGGGTGGGTGTAACCACGCCGATCGAACTAACGAAAGCCCACGAAAGTCTAGAACCACACTGAATCCACGCTCGGCGGCGAAGTCCATTTCAAGACTCGCCCATAAGTGGGATCGGCGCATTTATTTCGGTTATTCGATTTTTCGATCGAGCGGAGAAAATGTATGGGGAGGTTGAGGATTTTTTGTATGGGGTTCAAATAATGTTATGCAACTAGGCATAAATCAGTGAAGCGCTAAAAATAATTCTATTGTGTCAATCGAGCTATATTTGTTCGTGACTACTGAAAGACACGAAGAATGGGTAAAATTTAATAATTAAGTTAAACAGAAATGCACGTGAAGTGACGAATGTAATATAAAACCAGTTATGATGTCACTCTTTAAATGAGAAATGCGATAACCTCGCTGTCGTCATTGTGTTAAGTCTTATTTATGACTTAAGCGGATCCTTGCAAACTTAGTTTTATGATGATTAAACAGACGAAGAATTTTTGGGCGTCATTTATTTGCGTTCAAATGCGGTTCATAAGACTGAAACTGGCGAACTGGCGTTTTTTTATTTTCTACAAGCTGAGAATCGAGAAAAAAAAATGTTCACATTCGTGCCATTTTGCAGCTATTAGAGTACGAAAATTCAAGTTGCTGGTTACCGTCTGTCTGATTATTTAGAAACTTAGCTTTGTAATTATTAACTTTTCCCTGTCTTTTCACGGGTTTTTATTTTATCTGAGAAATTGCTTAACAGGTTTTTTTCGGAATTGGAGACTATGGAACATTCATACCTTCCACATTATCGATGACGTCATTTCAGGACCCCTTTTGTGTTGTTTTTGAGGTAGTCTGAAAGAATCTCGCGGACTGACTTTTGAAGTAGTTCGAACTGAGAATTTAAAAAATCGGAACATCGAAAAATTAAAAAAAACATCGAATAAAACGAAAAGTCGAAAAATCGAACTGGCCAAAAATCGAAAAATGGAGAAATCGAAAAAACGACATATCGAGAAATCGAAAATTCGAAAACCTGAAATATTTGAAAACTAAAAAATCGAGAAATGGAAACGTCAAGCAATCGTAACAGAAAATTGAAAATTCGAAAAACTGAAAAATCAAAAAAACGAGTCGGGAAATCGAAAAATTTAAGATTTAAAAATCGAAAATTAAAAAATCCCAACATTTTTTCACATCTCAAGAATTGGGAAATCGAAAAATTGAATAATTCAAATACCAAAAATTTGGAAATCGAAAAATCGAGAATTCGAAAAATAGAAAAATCAAAAACCGAGCATTCGAAAAACCGAAACATAAAAAGATCGAAAAATCGAAATGGCCCAAAATCGAGAAATTCAAAAATTGAAAAACCGAAGAATTTAAAACCTAGAAGTCGAAAAATTGAAAGATCGAGAAATTTAAAAATCGAGAAATTGAAAAATCGAAAAATTGAAGTATCAAAATAAGTATTGAAAGATCCCAAAACTGAAAAATGAAAAATTGATAAATTGATAAAACGAAAAATTGAAAAATCGAGAAATCGTAAAAGTCCGAACACCGAAAATTTCAAAAAATCGAAAAATTGCAAAACCAAAAGTCTAAAATTCGAAAATTGAATAACTGAAAACCTAAAAAAATCGAGAAAAAAAAAGTTCACTTAAAATTCCAAAATTTTTAGACATTTCAAAAATTGAGAAATCGAAAAATTGAATAATCGAAACACAAAAAATTTGAAAATCGAAAGACGAAGAGGCCCAAAATCGAACAATCGAAACATGAAAAGATCGAGAAAACGAAATTTCGAAAAATTGAAACGGCCAAAAATCGAAAATTCGAAAACCTGAAATATTTGAAAACTAAAAAATCGAGAAATGGAAACATCAAATAATCGTAAAAAAAATTGAAAAATCGAAAAACTGAAAAATAAAAAAAAAAAACGAGTCGAGAAATCGAAAAATTTTAAATTTAAAAATCGAAATTTGAAAAATCCCAAAATTTGTTCACATCCCAAAAATTGAATATTCGAAACACCAAAAATTTGGGAATCGAAAAACCGAGAATTCGAACAATTGAAAAATCAAAAAATATAAAATTTAAAAAATCAAAGAACTGAAAAATCGAAAAATCGAGATCTCGAAGAATTGAAGAACCGATAAATTGAAAAATCGAGAAATCAAAATAACGGAAAATAGAAGTTTTCAAAAATTGAAAAATCTAAACTTTAAAAAATCGAAAAACTGAAAAATTAAAAAAAACGAGAGTCGAGAAATCGAAAAATTTAAAATTTAAAAATCGAAAATTCCAAAATTGAGAAATCCCAAAATTTTTAGACATCAAAAATTGAGAAATCGAAAAATTGAATCATCGAAACACCAAAAATTTGAAAAGGGAAAAGTCGCAAAATCAAAAAAACCGAGCATTCGAAAAATCGAAACATCGAAAAATTTAGAAAAACGTCCAAGAATCGAAAAATCGAAATGGCCCAAAATCGAAAAATCGGGAAGTTAATCACTCGAAAAACCGAAACATCGAAATTTCGATAAACCGAGAGGTCGAAACATCAAAAAATCAAAAAATTCTAAAAATTGAAAAAGAGATAAATCAAAGACATCTAGAAAAATTGATGAACCAAAAATTTTGAAATCGAGAAAGCAAAATAACTAAAAATGGAAAAATAGAAAAATCGAAGAAATGAAAAATTGAAAAACTAAAAACCAAAAAAAAACTAGAGTCGAGAAATCGAAAATTGAAAAATTTCTAAATTTTTTGACATCTAAAAAATTGGGAAATCGAATAATTGAATAGTCGAAACACCAATTGATAAACTGAAAAACGAAAAAAAACAAGAGTCGAGAAATCAAAAAATTTAAAATTTAAAAATCGAAAATTGAAAAATCCCAAAATTTTTTGACCTCTCAAATATTGGGAAATCAAAAATTTGAATAGTCGAAACACCAAAAATTTGGAAAGTCGAAAAACCGAGAATTCGAAAAACTGAAAAATCAAAAAATGTAAAATTTAAAAAATCAAAGAACTGAAAAATCGAAAAATCGAGATCTCGAAAAAATGAAGAACCTAAAAATTTAAAAATCGAGAAATCAAAATAACTAAAAATGGAAAAATTGAAAAATCAAAAAATTGAAAATTTGAAAAACTGAAAAACCAAAAAAACGAGTCGAGAAATCAAAATAACGAAAAATTGAAAAATACTAAAATTTTTTGACATCTCAAATATTGGGAAATCGAAAAATTGAATAGTCGAAACACCAAAAATTTGGAAATCGAAAAGTCGAAAAACCGAGAATTCGAAAAATTGAAAAATCAAAAAAATTAAAATTTAAAAAATCAAAAAACTGAAAAATCGAAAAATCGAGATCTCGAAAAATTGAAGAACCGAAAAATTGAAAAATCGAGAAATCAAAATAACGAAAAATGGAAAAATTGATAAATTGAAAAATCAAAAAATTGAAAAATTGAAAAACTGATAAACCAAAAAAAAAACTAGAGTCGAGAAATCGAGAAATTAAAATTTTAAAAATCGAAAATTGAAAAATCCCAAAATTTTTTGACATCTCAAAAATTGGGAAATCGAAAAATTGAATAGTCGAAAAACCGAGAATTCGAAAAATTTAAAAATCAAAACAATGTAAAATTTAAAAAATGGAAAAATTGAAAAATCGAAAAATTCAAAAATTGAAAAACTGAAAAACTAAAAAACACTAGAGTCGAGGAATCGAAAAATTTTAAATTTATTTAAAAAATGAAAATCAAAAAATCCCATTTTTTTTACATCTCAAAAATTGAGAAATCGAAAAATTGAATAATCGAAACACCAAAAATTTGGAAATCGAAAAGCAAAAAATCGAAAAACCGAGAATTCGAACAATTGAAAAACCAAAAAATGTAAAATTTAAAAAATCAAAGAACTGAAAAATCGAGAATCGAGATCTCGAAAAATTGAACAACCGAAAAAATTGAAAAATCGAGAAATCAGAATAACGAAAAATGGAAAAATTGAAAAACCGAAAAATTGAAAAATTTAAAAATCTGAAAAATTAAAAAAAAACGAGTCGAGAAATCGAAAAATTTTATTAAAAACCGAAAATTGCAAAATTGAAAAATCGCAAAATTTTTAGACAGTTCAAAAATTGAGAAACCGAAAAATTGAATAATCGAAACACCAAAAATTTGAAAATCGAAAGGCGAAAAGTCGCAAAATCGAAAAACCGAGCATTCGAAAAATCGAAACATCGAAAAATTTAAAAAACGTCGAGGAATCGAAACATGAACAGAGCGAAAAGGCCCAAAATTGAAAAATCGGGAAGTTGATCAATTGAAAAACCGAAACATCGAAATTTCGATAAACCCAAAAGTCGAAAAATTGAAATATCGAGAAATCGGAACATCAAAAAATTGGAAGTCGAAAAATCGGAAAATTAAAAAATCAAAAAATGTTAAATTTAAAAAATCAAAGAACTGAAAAATCGAAAAATCGAGATCTCGAAAAAATGAAGAACCGAAAAATTTAAAAATCGAGAAATCAAAATAACGAAAAATGGAAAAATCGAAAAATTGAAAAATTGAAAAACTGAAAAACCAAAAAAAACCAGAGTCGAGAAATCGAAAAATTTAAAATTTAAAAATGTAAAATTGAAAATCCCAAAAATTTTTGACATCTCAAAAATTGGGAAATCAAAAAATTGAATAATCGAAACACCAAAAATTTTTAAATCGAAAAGTCGAAAAACCGAGAATTCGAAAAAATGAAAAATCAAAAAATGTAAAATTTAAAAAATCAAAGACCTGAAAAATCGAAAAATTGAACAACCGAAAAATTTAAAAATCGAGAAATTAAAATAACGACTAATGGAAAAATTCAAAAAAAAACGAGAGTCGAGAAATCGAACAATTTTAAATTTAAAAACCGAAAATTGCAAAATTGAAAAATCGCAAAATTTTTAGACAGTTCAGAAATTGAGAAATCGAAAAATTTAATAATAGAAACACCAAAAATTTGAAAATCGAAAGGCGAAAAGCTGCAAAATCGAAAAACCGAGCATTCGAAAAATCGAAAAATTTACAAAACATCGAGGAATCGAAAAATGAGAAGATCGAAAAATCGAAATGGCCCAAATTCGAAAAATCGGGAAGTTGATCAATCGAAAAACCGAAACATCGAAATTTCGATAAGCCGAGAAGCCGAAGAATTGAAAGACCGAGAAATAGAAACAAAAAAAATTAAAAAATTCTACGAATTGAAAAATAGATAAATCAAAGAGATCTCGAAAAATTGAAGAATTGAAAAATTTTGAAAATCGAGAAATTGACAAATCGAAAAATCAAAGAATCGAAATATGTGTTGGAAGAACCCAATACTCAAAAATGAAAAATTGATAACTTGATAAAACGAAAAATTGAAAAATCTAAGAAAAATCGAAAAATCGAGAAATCGTAAAAGTCCCAAAACCGAAAATTTCAAAAAATCGAAAAATTACAAAATCAAAAATCTAAAAATCGAAAAATTGAAGAATTGCAACCCTAAAAAAATAGTGAAATGGAGAAGTCGAAATATCGATTAATCAAGAAATCGAAAAATCGAAAATTTACAAACGCCAAAAATTGAAGAATCGAAAATTTGAAAAACTGAGAAACGAAGAAAGTGACAAATTGAGGAATCGGAATATGTATTGAAAAATCCAAAGTGGTCTTACTCCTTTGGTCTGATTTTTTAACTGGTTTAAAAGAATCTCGGGGACTCCTTTCGTTTTGTTTTTTGAAGTGGTTTGAAAGAATCTCGGGGACTTCATATACCTGATTTTTCAAGTAGTTTGAGTAGTAGCAGTCGGGATCCCCTTTGTTTTGTTTTTGATGTGGTTTGAAAGAATCTCGGGTATTCCTTGTACCTGATTTTTGAAGGAGTTTGAAAGAATCTCGAGGACCACTTTTGTTTTGTTTTTGAAGTGGGTTGAAAGAATCTCGGGTAATCCTTGTACCTGATTTTTGAAGTGGTTTGAAAGAATCTCGGGGACTCCTTGTACCTGATTTTTGAGGTAGTTTTAAGGAATGTCAGGGATGGCTTTTGTTTTATTTTTGAAGTGGTTTTAGAAAATGTCGGGGATCTCCTTTGTTTTGTTTTTGAAGTAGTTTTAAAGAATCTTGGGTACTCCTTTTGTCTGATTTTTGAAGTGATTTGAAAGAATCTCGGGGTTCTTTTTGTTGTATTTTTGCAGTAGTTTGAAAGAATCTCGGGGACTCCTTGTACCTGATTTTTGAAGTAGTTTGAAAGAATCTTTGGGACCACTTTTGTTAGGTTTTTGAAGTGGTTTGAAAGAATCTCGGGGACTCCTTGTACCTGATTTTTGTGTAATAGTTTGAAAGAATGTCGGGGTTGGCTTTTGTTTTGTTTTTGAAGTAGTTTGAAAGAATCTCGGGTACTCCCTTTTGTCTGATTTTTGAAGCGGTTTGAAAGAATCTCAGCATCTCGATGTACCTGATTTTTGAAGTAGTTTGAAAGAATTTCAGAGACTTTTTAAACTTAATTTTTAAAGTCGTTTGAAACAATCTCGGGCTACCTTTATGTTTTGATTTTGAAGTAGATTGAAAGAATCTCGGGAACCTCTTGTGTCTGGTTTTTGAAGTAATTTGAAAGAATCCCGGGGCCCCTTGTGCTTGGTTTTTGAAGTAATTTGATAGAATCTTGGGGATTACTTTTGAAGTCGTTTGAAAAAATTTCTGAGATCCTTTATCTTGTTTTTGAAGTAGTTTGAAAGAATCTGAAACTCTAGTTTTTGAAGTAGCTAATTTGAAAGAATTTTCGGAGTCCAGTTTTCCAGAGGGGAAAAGCGCCCGCAAGCTGAAATTTATACTTCTTTTAAAACTATAAAAAATCACTGGTCCACATTTTATCGTTGCTGAAATTATTGGTTGCATAACTAACAAAGTTCTAACTCATTTTAGAAATTGTTCAGACCGACACTTTACATAAAATTCTTGTGAGTGTTTTTTTTTTATAATACTACCAACTGAGTTTGTGTAAACAATTGATTTGTGATTTTTTTGTCAGGTTGGCGACATATTTAAGATTTTATGGTAGCATACCTGACTGTCAGATTGACCTTTGCTGCCAATTCAGAGCTGCCAACACAAAAAAAAATATTTTGACCAGACGACACACACCATTATAAAAACAATTATTTATTTTAAACTAAAATTTACACGATATTAGGTACATTATTATGATAAAATCTGAAAACTTAAATATACGATACGCGTTACGTACAACAACGTAATTGCCGGTGTCTCGTAAATTTGCAAAAATCCAACGTGTGACTATTAAAAACAGTGACAATTTGCAGTGAGGCCACTAGAGAAAAAACAGTTTAAACCCTAGCATACAATAAATTACTTGGTATACAAAAGTGAAGATAATATAAAACAGGTGATGAGGACGATGATCATGACTAAAATGATGTTGACTGTAACAACTTCAGGAAAAAACTTGTAAAAATTTCCTCTCGTTAACATGAGCCTAGACTACGACTTTCAGTCAGTCAATCGAACGTTAATTTGGCCTGTTGCCCCCTTTGTATTCGATGTAGAGGAGGTAGCTCCCGAAACCGTACGCTATGGCGTTGAAAATCCCGAACACCTGTCGAAACACAAAAATCAACACAGAGTCTTGGAATGTTATCAATACGTACCCCAGCCGCTATATTAGCGCCTTTGTGGTAGTTGGGCCCTCCGGGCCATATCGCCAGCTGCACGATGAAGGCGATGACGTAAGCCACCGTGCAGATGCCTGTGTTGAGCAGCTCCTGAAATGAACACACCTTGTATTTACCACCTTAAGTTTAATAAGAGTACTCACTGTGAGAATCCAGTGAATGGGCAAGGTCAGTGCCTCCCGAATGCCCAAAAGGTACACGATCACCCAAATCAACGTGCCTATGAAGGTCGTCGTGGCTACGAAGAGGAAAAAGTGGGTGCCGGAGAGGAGGGCGGGGGAGGCGAGGGCCATGCAGAGGATGCCCAATATCTGTAAAAAAAAAACAGTGGATACACAAAAATGCCGCGGTTTGTATGTGGTGTAGACTTCGTTGGGTTGCTTTTCCGATAGTGCAGCAATTATAATGTTACGGAAGTGGCGATAGTGAAAGCGATAAAAAGCAAACAACAACCAAGTGACAAGAAATATCAACGTTACTGGACAAAATGAATATGCATGAGTTGCGATCGATTAATAATAATATTATAAAAATTAATTTCCTAAAATGGTGTTAATTCCAGCGTGCACGCACTGGCATTACCATAATTAGAGTATTATAAGTACCCATCTGCCGATTTAACGTTTTACTTATTACTTGGAGAATATTTGTCATAGCTTACTGTAAATTTATACCCAAGGCCAACGCGGTTTATAGCTGTACATATGATACCTGTATGTACTTAAGCGCAATAAAAGACCCATCATCGCATTAAGTTGGGTCTCTCTAATTTTTTCGTGGCGTGTCCATTGATTAATGGAATGCCAGACAGGTTGTTAAATTCTTATGACCGCAGATATGTTCCTCGTCAAACAAATTTGCAGCTTGTTTACTATTTACATAAATAATTCTTGACGACCTTAGGATTTTTGTTTGTCCGAAAACGAAAAACGTGAATAATGGGTAAAATTAGACGCTTGGGAGGAAAGTCTGGAACCAGAAATAGCAAAATTTTGAGGAAAGTGGATTCCGGAAGTTGGACGGCGATTTTTATCTTGTTTGTTGAATTTGTTAATATTTGGGTTTATGTGACATCGGGAAAACCTTGTTCTTTGTTATCACTGTCTTTCAAATGTCATTTTGTTTAAAAAAATTGGTCGAAGGTCATTTCGACAGAACTTTCCTCGGCTCTAAAAGGAAGCCCAACAAATTTAAAACAGATTACTAACTGGAAAAATGTTTTTCGAAATATCCATAAGTCGAACAATTGAAAAATTGAATCATCGCAGTGTCGACAAATCGAGAAGTCAAAAAAATTGTAAAACCGAAAAATCGAAACATCAAAAAATTGAAAAATCAAAATAGCGAAAAATAGGAAAATTCCCAAAATTTAAATGTTGAAAAATTTTAAAAATCGAAAAACCGACTTGTCGAAAAATCGAAAAATTGAAAAATCCCAATATTTTTTGAGATATCAACAATTGCGAAATCGAAAAATTGAATAATCGAAAAGCGAAAAGTTGAAACATCGAAATTTCGATAAACCGAGAAGTCCAAAGACTGAAAAATCGAAGAATTTAAAACCGAGAAGTCGAAAATTTGAAAAATCGAGAAATCGAAACAAAAAAATTTAAAAATTCTAAAAGTAGAAACATAGAAAAATCAAAAAACTGGACATTAGAAAAATCGAGATCTCAGAAAATTGAAAAGTCAAAAAACTGAAAAATCAAGAGAAAAAAACAAGAACCGAGAAAAAATTTTAAATTTAAAAATCAAAAATTGAAAAATTGAAAAATCCCAAAATGTTTGGCTTTTCTAAAACTGAGAAATCGAAAAACTGAAAAATCGAAACACCAAAAATTTGAAAATCGAAAAGTCGAAAAATTGAAAGATCGGGAAATCGAAACATCAAAAAATTAAAAAATTCTAAAATTGAAAAATAGATAAATCAAAGAGATCTCGAGAAATTGAAAAATCGAAAAATTTAAAAATCGAAAAACTGAAAAAGTGAGAAATTGAAAAATCGAAAATTGAAAAATCGAAATAAGTATTGAAAGATCCCAAAACTGAAAAATTGATAAATTAATAAAACGAAAAATTGAAAAATAAAAGAAAAATTGAAAAAATGGTAAAAGTCCGAAAACCGAAAATTAAAAAAAAAATCGAAAAGTCGCTAAATCAAAACTCTAAAATTCGAAACATTGGAGAACTGAAAACCTAAAAAAAATCGAGAAAAAAATTGTTCACCTTCTTGCCATTTTGTAGTACGAAAATTGCAAAATTTTTGACTTTTCTAAAATTGGGAAATCGAGAAATTGAATAATCCACACACCAAAAATTTGAAAATCGAAAAGCGAAAAGTCGAAAAATCGAAAAACCGAGAATTCGAAAAATCAAAAAACATGGAGGAATCGCAACATGAAAAGGTCGAGAAAACTAAAAGTCGAGAACTCGAAAAATCAAAATCACCCAAAATCGAAAAATCGGGAAATTGATCAATCGAAAAACCGAAACATCAAAATTTTGATAAATCAAGAAGTTCAAAAATGGAAAAACCGAAAAATTTATAATTATTGCAGTCGAAAAATGGAAAGATCGGGAAATCGAAACATCAGAAAATTTAAAAAATCTAAAAACTGAACAATAGAAGAATAGAAACTGAAGCATCAAAAATTTTAAAATCGAGAAATCAAAATAACGAAAAATCGAAAAATTGAAGAATTGAAAAATCGAAGAAAAATTGAACAATGTTAAAATTGAAAAATCGAGTAATCGTAAAATCTAAATGTTACAAAATCAAAAATCGAAAAATTAAAAAATTGAAAATCTAAAAAAGTCGAAAAATCGACAATTTAGAAACGCCAAAAATTGAAGAATCGAAAATTTGAAAAATCGAGAAATCTAGTATTTAAAAAATCCAAGAATTAAAAATCGAGAAATCGGCAAATTGAAGAATCGAAATGTGTATTGAAAAATCCAAACAGAAATATCGAAAAATTGAAAATCGAGAAATAGTGAAAAATCAAAAATGTAAAAAGTGGAAAAATCTGGGAACTGAAAACCCGAAATATCGAAAAATTGAAAATCGAGAGACTGAAAAATATAAAAATTGAGATTGATTAATGTATCAAAAAACTCTAAAATCCAAAAACTGAAATATCGAAAAATTGAGAAATCGAAGGTTTGAAAAGAGAGAGCGAGAAATCCAAAAACCGAAAATTCGAAAGATCAAGAAATCGAAACATCAAAAAATTAAAAAATTCTAAAATTGAAAAATACATAAATCAAAGAGATCTCGAGAAATTGAAGAATCGAAAAATTTAAAAATCGAAAAATTGAAAAATTGAAAAATTGAAAAATTGAAAATTGAAGAATCGAAATAAGTATTGAAAGATCCCAAAACTGAAAAATTGATAAATTGATAAAACGAAAAATTGAAAAATCAAAGAAAAATTGAAAAAATCGAAAAATCGTAAAAGTCCGAAAACCGAAAATTAAAGAAAATCGAAAAGTTGCTAAATCAAAACTCTAAAATTCGAAACATTGGACAACTGAAAACCTAAAAAAAATCGAGAAAAAAATTGTTCACCTTCTTGCCATTTTGTAGTACGAAAATTCCAAAATTTTTTACTTTTCTAAAACTGGGCAATCGAGAAATTGAGTAATCCAAACACCAAAAATTTGAAAACCGAAAAGCGAAAAGTCGAAAAATCGAAAAACCGAGAATTCGAAAAATCGAAAAATCAAAAAAACATCGAGGAATCGCAACATGAAAAGATCGAGAAAGCTAAAAATCGAGAACTCGAAAAATCAAAATCACCCAAAATCGAAAAATCGGGAAATTGATCAATCGAAAAACCGAAACATCAAAATTTTGATAAATCAAGAAGTTCAAAAATTGAAAAACCGAAAAATTTATAACCTTGCAGTCGAAAAATCTAAAAACTGAAAAATAGAAAAATCAAATAACTGAAAAATCGAAATTTCGAAAATCTGAAGAATCGAGAAATTTAAAAATCGGGAAAGCAAAATAAGGAAAAATCGAAAAATTGAAGAATCGAAATATGTATTGAAAGATCCCAAAACTGAAAAATGTAAAACTTGTAAAATCGATACATCGAAAATTGAAAAATTGAAAAAAATTGAAGAATCAAAAAATTGAAAAAAAAGTGAAGAATCAAAAAATTGAAAAATCGAGAAATCATAAAAGTCGTAGGATCGATAATGAAAAAAAAATCGAAAAAATAAAGAATTGAAAACCTAAAAGAATCGACACATCGAGAAGTCGAAAAATCGAAAATTTAAAAACGCCAAAAATTGAAGAATCGAAAATTTGAAAAATCGAGAAATCTAAACTTTAAAAAATCCAAAAATTAAAAAAAAATGTGCATTGAAAAATCAAAGAAAATTTGAAAATTCCCAATACTGAACATCAAAAAATTGAAAATCGAAAAAGAGTGAAAAATCAAAAATGTAAAAAGTCGAAAAATCAGAGTACCTACTGAAAACCCGAAAAATCGAAAATTTAGAAATTCCAAAAATTGAAAAATTGAAAAATTTTAAAATAGAAAAATTGAAAATCGAGAGACTGAAAAATATAAAAGTGGAGAAATTGAAAAATGGAAAACTGAAGAATGAAAACCTGAAAAATCCAAAAACTGAAACATCGAAAATTTAAGAAATCGAGGGTTGAAAAATCGAGAAATCCAAAAGCCGAAAATACGAAAAATTGAGAAATCGAAACATTCGTATACAATTTTTTTTTCCAAAAATTGAAAAATTCCACCATTTTTTGACATTACAAAAATTGGGAAATCGAAGAATTGAATAATCGAAACACCAAAAATTTGAAAATCGATAAGCAGAAAGTGGAAAAATTTGAAAACTGAGAATTCGAAAAATCGATATATCGAAAAATAAAAAAAAATTAAAATTGAAGTCGAAAATTGAAAACTCCCAAAATTTTTTGCCATTTCAAAAATTGTAAAATTGAAAAATTGAATAATCGAAACACCAAAAATTTGAAAACCGAAAAGTCGAAAAACCGAGAATTTGAAAAATCGATATTTCGAAAAATTAAAAAAAATTAAAATTGAAAAGTCGAAAATTGAAAAATCCCAAAATTTTTTGCCATTTCAAAAACTGCAAAACCGAAGAATTGAAAACCAAGAAGTCGAAAAATTGAGAGATCCAGAAATCGAAACATCAAAAAATTTAAAAATTCTAAAAATTGAAAAATATAAAAATCAAAGATATCTCGAAAAATTGAAAAATCAAAAAACTGGAAAATAAAAAAAATAGTTGAGAAATCGAAAAATTTTAAATTTAAAAATAGAAAATTGAAAAATTGAATAATCGAAACACCAAAAATTTGAAACTAGAAAAACGAAAAATCGAAACATCGAAAAATTAAAAAATATATTCAGGAATCGAAACATGAAAAGATCGAGAAAACGAAAAGTTGAAAAGTGGAGAACTCGAAAAACCGAAAAATCGGGAAGTTGATTAATCGAAAAACCGAAACTTCGAAATTTCGATAAACCGAGAAGTCCAAAAATTGAAAAACCGAAGAATTTAAAACCGAGAACGGAACGTCAAAAATTTTAAAAATATTAAAAATTGAAGAATTGAAAAATTTAAAAATCGAGAAATCAAAATAACGAAAAATCGAAAAATTCAGAAATTGAAAAATCTAAAAATTGAAGAATCGAAATAAGAATAAGAATTGAAAGATCCCAAACCTGTGAAAAGGAAAAACTGATAAATTGATAAATCGAAAAATTGAAAAATCGAAGACAAATTGAATAACTGAAAGATTAAAAAATTGAAAAATCGAAATTAAAAAAAATCGAAAATTGCAAAATCAAAAAATTTAAAAAATCGAAAAATTGGAGAATTGGAAACCTAAAAAAATCGAGAAATCGAGAAGTCGAAAAATTGAAAAAATTCAAGAACTGAAAATTTGAAAAATTTAAAATTCAAAAAATCGTTAATGAAAAATCGATAAATCGAAAAATCGACAAATTGGAGAATCAAAAGTGTATCGAAGAAAAATGGAAAAATTGAAAAAACGAGAAATAGTATAAGTCGAAAAATCGAAAATTAAAAAAAAATCGGAAAATTGCAAAATTATAAATCTAAAAAATCCAAAAATTGGAGAATTGGAATCGAGAAAACGAAAAATCGACAAACTGGGGAATCGAAATATGTATTGAAAAATCCAAACCACGATAAATCGAAAAACTGAAAAACCAAAGAAGTATTGAAAAATCCCTATACTGAAACATCGAAAAGTTGAGAAATCGGAGAATTGAAAAATCAAGAAAATGTGAAAAATCAAAAATCTAAAAAGTCGAAAAACTCGAGAACTGAAAACCTGAAAAAGCGAGAAATTGAAAACTTGAAATTCCAGAAATTGGAAATATAAACATTCTTTTTTTTTACACGATCATATACACAATCATGTTTTGCCTTCTTTTTTTATTAGATTCATTAATTTTTTGAAACATCCTGCATACAATTCAAAAAAATCAAAAATATTACTAAAGCGCAAACAATGTTGCATTTCGAAGCACATCCTTAACAAATATTAGTTTAATAATTTCGGCGACGGCCTCACGATACGGTAAACAAACGACAGACAGACGGAAACGGGAGACCTACTTTTCCATATTCTAGGACGTATAAAATAGCATAAATATCCGCTAGTTTAAACACAAAATTTAAGCATCTGGTATGTGTTTATTGACGAAAAATTTGCCACAAAAAAGAGAAATATGGAACGAAATTTATTACATTTGACAAGGAGAAAATTTAAAGTACCTAGTCATCACGACACGAAATCACGATTAAAACGTTTTGTGAAAATTACCAGGGAATCATTGTGTGAAACTGATAACAAAATCTTAGACAATCTCATTGTTTTGGCAAATATTTATTTTCACGCATTTTGCTCTCGTTGTTTGAGATTTGTAATCTTCGAGTACTGTTTATTTATAGTTTGATTGTTTCCTTATTGTATTTAGTTTCACCTTTCTAAATATATATTTTTTGTTCCAAGCAATATATGGACCTTTTCTTGATATTTAAGTCGAGTGGTACTTTCTTCACTTAATAAACTTCCTGGGGTAAAATTAAAAAAACCCAGTAAGAAAAAATGTGACCATAACAATTTCATTCTCCTCCTCCAGCGGTAGTAGAAAGGTGTGTTCACTGATATTCCACTCTAACCCAAGCTCTCTATTCCAGATGTGTTGGTACTCATCAAGAATCTCATTCATGCCGCTTTTACTTCGAAGAGCCACTTTTGAACCATCCAATTTTATTGTCTGATCTCAATCGCCTAAGTCCGATTTTTTTTTTTAGTTTCTCCGATGTGAACCACGTCCTCAAGTACCGCTCGTTGCATTTTAGAACGCTTGCCCAAAAAAAGCGCAAAGCCGATAAAGTCTGGACATATTAGGTTTTGAACCTGCATTCCACATTCCACCGTTACGTCAGAACACAGTTATTATTTTGAAAACTTCGCTTACAACGTACCGATCTAAGGCAGCTCGAAGAAGTGGTCAACCTTCAGAGGAATAATTATGCAAAGTGGTAAAATGTGTTTCGTCAGCAGGAACATGGATGACAGTAATAATAATCTTTTGACTGGAAAATTTTCAAATTCGAGTACTAAAACTAGTGCCATTTTGGGTACAACGTTTACGGTTGGCGCAAAAGTACCCCGTACCTAAAAACGCACCGTCATCCCGTTAGCCGGCACCCGGTCACTTGGTCACTTTACGACTGGAATTAATAATTCTAATAACGGTACTACCAGAAGACGTTCGTCGGAACCGCCTGCTCGACTTGCAGAAAGCAAATTTAACTAACAGTACCGATCCTGACACCTCTATTATCTTAATTATTTGCGAATCGAGTGGTACCTGAAGCAGTACCAGCGTCTTAGTATGGGTGTCACGAGTATATGTGTAACAGTTTATGGGTAAGTACTAAGTATCATCCCATGGTCGAGGTGGATGACCCCCATCAGATTGCAGGTGCGGCACTCTCGTTACGCTAGCAGTACTAGTCGGAAGTTGCATTGTAATAACGAACGGAAACACCATCTAACAGTCTGTAACGATTCATGGTCCAGACGTTCGTTCTTAGTTTTCGACTAATCGAGTGGGTTGGTGGTACCAATGGTACCATATATGGCAGGAGTTTTTGCGTTGTGTCACTACTGCCTCCACTATTGACACCTACTGACTACTACGGCGTAGGACGTGCATAAATTGAAGGTCGTGAATGGAGGATGCACTAGGCGCTAAGAAGGCGGTGTGAAATTCACCCACGCTCGAGTCACGTCGGTCCTAACAATTATTTTGGAAAAATAAAACGTTCTTGTTTCACAGATGTGTTTTTATTTTCGTATCGGTAGTAGGAGTAAACGTGCGAGAATTAGAATGGAACAAGCACATGCTGTTCTTCACAAAACAGAAACAAATGTGAAAAGGCAGGATGCCAAATTGTGTCATGGAGGATTATGTACACTGAAATTATAGCGGGCCACCGGTTTTGGCAAGATCTAATAAGATTTAGGAACTTAATGCTTTTCAAACATAAATCTCGAGATTAGGTAGGAGTGATGACGGAAATAAAATTCGAGATAAAAAATAATCTTGTTTCTATATGGATCCTTTGTTATTCTTAGTGTCAATTCATCGCGGTTGCACACAAGTGTGACCTTGACGCGATCAATCAGAGCCGAGTCTTCCACAAATGTTGTATGTTATAATTAGAATTTTATTTTAACGTGGGCGCCCGATTTAAGTATGAGTCTTCAATGAATCGGGGCAAAGCTATTAAGAAGTTTTTCGTTCTCTCATCAATAATTTAGTTAACTTGGGTGATAATTAATAGCGACGCGACCGTGAACCGCACGCAAATGTTTTGAGCCTATGGGCGGATCGTTTTTGCCTGCCCTCACCGAAGAAGGCAGTCCAAATCCTTCAAGGGCAGAATTTGTAGGTAGGCTCAAACTACAACGAAATTTACATTTTACTCTATAAAATTTTATTGACAGTAACGGGACGGACGGACAATGGTTACATTTGGTAAGAAATATTTATGGCTCACGCCAGTTCTCTCGAATTTGTCGGAGAAGATTTAGCAGGTAGTTGTTCCCATAAAATAATGGTCACTTTCGTTCGTGAGTAACAATGGCCCGGACAGGAATTATTTTGCTTTCTAACATCTTTCGACCAATTGTTCCGTATAAAAAATTTCATCACTTTTTTAAAATACTCTTAAATGTTCATAATAAATAAATAAAAAAAAAAAACGATATTGTCGTTGAGTGACAAGTAATTGGCATAATAATAAAAACGTGCCATTTTTGTTAACTGATATTTTTTTCATAAATGTCGCAAAATTATTAAATTTGTCTAATCATCCCCACCAATAATGTGATGACGTCCCTTCAAATTTATGCATAGTAAATGGGTTTTAAATTGTATACAGTAACATAGTCCTACACATGTAGTTTATGACTCCTTGTTGAATTTTTATCCGAAACGTCCAGATTTATTATATATAATTTATTTGCTTATCCCCTCTAAAAAATTTATGACGTCACCTCAGAATAAATCCTATCTTAAATGTATAAAATATGATGAGTTTTATACTTGTGATTTATCACTGCATTAATATTTTTTAGATTTGGTTATACAGGGTGTCTCAAAAAAGTTCATGACTGATTCAATTTATTTTATTTAATATTATTTATATTATTATGAAGAAATCAAGAATAGCAAAACTGAATACTTTGAAATATTGTAGATGTTTTGAAGTTTTTGTAAGCAACAATATTTGATTAATCAAATATGCGCAAAATCAAAAATCGGAAAAACTGAAATTCACTGATGCAAAAAACAGAAAATCGAAAAATACAAATCGTAAAAATCGAAAATCTAAAAATGGCTAATCAAAAAATCGAAAATTCAATGAAATCAAATACCTAGGTCGATCGAAAAGTGGAAATTCACAAACCTCAAAAATCGAAAATTGAAAAACGGAAAAACCAAAAAATCGAAAAGTCAAAAATTTGTAATACTGAAAATTAAAAAAATCAAAAACAAAAATTAAAAAAAATGGAAATTAAAATAATCAAAATATATAAAGTAGAAAAAATTGCAAAGCCTAAAAACTGAAGCGAACAGAAAAATCTTAAGCAAAAATTGGAAAAACAAAAATTCGAAAAATCTAAAATCGCAGAAGTGGAAAATCAAAAATCTGAATAAAGAAACTTGGAAATTCTGAAAATTGGAAAACTGAAAACCAAAAAATCGGAAAGAAACAAAATTGAAGTCTAAAAGGTGAGAACGGAAAAATTGAAAAACCGAAAATTCTAAAAATCGACAATGGACAAATTGAAAATCGCAATTTAAATTGAAAAATTGAACATAGAAAAATCGATGAATTGAAAAATCGAAAATTCGACTACTCAAATTTTCTAAAAATCGAAAAATCATAAAACCGAAATATCCAAAATTCTAATGGTCGAAAGTCTGAAACCTGAAAATCGAAAATTCTGAAAAGCGGAAAATAGAATATCGAAAAATTTAAAAGAAAGAAAATTGAAGTCTAAAAACCGAAGAATGGAAAAATTAAAAATCAAAAATTCGAAAAATCAAAACCGAAAAGTTCAAAGATTTAAAAAGGAAAATCGAAAAATCAAAAATCTGAAAATTGAAACTCGAAAATTCGGAAAATCGAAAAGTCAAAAAATTGAAGTCTAAAAGCTGAAGAATGGAAAACTGAACAATCGAAAATTCGAAAATCAAATATCGAAAAATCGAAAATTTGATGAATCAGATATGCGAAAAACAAAAAATCGAAAATACAAAACTGAAAAATCGAAAATCTAGAAGTGGAAAAACCGAAAATCGAAAATTCAATGAATATAATACGTAGGTCGATCGAAAAACCGGAAATTCACAAATCTGAAAAATCGGAAATTTGCAAGATTCAAAAACCGAAAATTGAAAAATCAAAAAACCGAAAAATGGAAAATTCAAAAATCGAAAAGTAGGAAAACAGAAAATTCGAAAATTCATAATATTGAAAACTCTAAAAGTCGACAATTCAAAAATCGAAAAGTAAACAAATTTCAAAGCCTAAAAAGTGACGAACAGAAAAATCGAAAACTCGTAAAATCATAAAGTGGAAACTCGAAAACTGAAAATTGAAAAATCGGAGATTGGAAAATCGAAATATCGAGAATCGACAAATTAAAAAACCGAAAAATCGAAAAATTAAAAAATCGGAAATCGAAAAATCAAAAAAAAAAACGAAAATTCAAAAATCGAATAATCCGAAACTAAAATAATAGAAAAGTGGAAAAGTAAAAATTGCAAAGTCTAAAACTGACGAACAGAAAAATCGAAAAATTAAAAAAAATCGAAAAATATCTAAAAATGGAAAAATCGAAATGCTCAAAAATCGAAAATTCGATTAATCAATATTCTAAAAATCGAAAAAACGGACACAAATCCACAAATCTGAAAAATCGAAAATCGAAATATCGAGACTCGAAAAATTAAAAAACCGAAAAATTGAAAAATCCCAAATCGAAAAATGAAAAAACCAAAAATTCAATAATCGAAAAATGGAAAAATAAAACAAATCGCAGAACCATAAAAACTGAAACAAACAGAAAAATCGAAAAACCACAAAATCTGAAAAACGAAAATCGAAAAATCGCAAATCGAAAAATCGTAAAATCAGAAAATGGAAAATCGAATACTCGAAAATTGAAAAATAAAAAAACCGAAAAATCGAAAAATTTAATGATTAATGAAAAATCGAAAAATCGAGAATAGAAGAATTAAAAAACCGGAAAATTGAAAAATCGGAAATCGAAGAATTAAAAACGTAAAATCGAAAATTCAAAAATCAAAAAAATCGGAAAGTAAAATATAATCGAAAAATGCAAAAAAATTGCAGCAAAGTCTAAAAACTGACCAACAGAAAAATCAACAAATCGAAAAACGGAAAAACCGAAAACTCGAAAATTCAAAATACCGCAAATTTGAAAAATCAGAAAATGCGAAACTAAAAAAATCGAAAAGTTGATAGAAAAATGGAAACTGAAAAATCTAATTAGATGAAACGGTTGGTCGAAAAGACGAAAAATCGAAAATCGAAGTGATCTTTTTTTGAGACAGCCTGTATAAGTAAATCTAAAAAATATTACTGCAATGATAAATCACAGGTACTGACTCATCATATCAAATTTTGCCATGACGTCATGCATTTTTTGGCGAAGATAAGCAAATACATTTTGATCGTGGCTTGGAAAGCATTCTTCGACTTTCGTTCCATTTCAAACGACCCAAGAGAGACAGCAGTAAAGGATAACAAATGGAACGGATAAAATAAAGCGTCAACCATGATTGATAAACTTTAAACCAAAATTATGAAGTTTATAAACTGAACATTTAACCTAAAACTAATAGCACATCACAGATATTGCAAAAAAAATTGGGCTCAGGTTCCAACTAATTGACAAGATTTCAAAGTATTCAGTTTTGCAATTCTTGATTTCTTCAATAAAATAAATTTACTCAGTCATTATTTTTTTGAGTCACCCTGTATGTATAAACAAATCCAAAAAATATAAACGGAATGGTAAATCACAAGTATAGACTCATCGTATTATGAACACTTTAGATAGGGTATTTATAAAATGAAAACTAATTCAGAGTAAGAATTTGGTCAACACGTAAATGTGGTTGTAGTTTGAGCCTACCTACAAATTCTGCCCTTGGACGATTTGTACCGCCTCCTACCGGCAAAATGATCCGCCCATAGGCTCAAAACATTTGCGTGCGATTGTACGTAGAAAGCCATGCCGCTGTAACGTGATGTAAAGTTTTGTAAGTAAATAGTAATAATGTTTATATTTAATTGCGACGCTACGAATAATCAACAATCTCCGTCTGTAAAGTACAAAGTATGTGAATTCCCATCAAATCATCCCATCTCTGACTTTATCTCACAATTAGATAATAAACACATACACGTCTTTGTCAACACAGAACTAGTGGACGTAATTATGGAAACACACCGTTAAAAACATGCACATGGAAGGTCACCAACAACATCATTGTGTGTGACGTGGCGCTTAAGAATGGCCAACTCCCATTGTTAATAGGTCCAGTGGATGCAGATACATAAAAATGCCGCGGCTTTATGTGACGAATCAAGCGCCTGACGTCAGTTATGACTATGAGAATGCATCGATTCGCTGCACAAATTTAGCAGAAACGTTGATGCCATCGTCCGAAATAGTATAGTCGCGCTAGCTTTTAAGGCGGCGCCCCAGGTGGCAGTGAAAACGCCGATTTTG